ATAATTGTATCATGGTATAACTTTTAGGGTAAAATAATAATATTTTTTAAAAAATGATAATTAGTTTTCAATGATAAGACTCTTGAAAATCTGAGTAATGATTCTTGAAAAACTTTTTAAGTGATAAAAATCTTCTTAAAATTACTTAAATATTGAAATTTTTAGAAGTTATTTTCAATATAAAGATTTTCTTTTTATTTAATTTAAATAATTTTCTTAAAATAAATAAAAATATAAAAATATTTATAAAATAAAAATCTTTTAGAAAATAAATTTATTTATGGATAATTATATTATTGCATAACTTTAAGAATGAAATATTAATAATTAATTAATAAAGATTTTTTCGATGATGTAATATTAAAGAATTTCAAGTAATGATTTTTTAAAAATTTATAGGTGAAAATAATTTTTTAAAATGTTACAAAAGTATTAGGGTATTTAAGAATATAGTCAATAAAAAGATTTTGTTTATTTATTTTTAATTAAAAAATAAAATAATAATAATAAAAGAAAAATTTTAAAACAAATAAATAAAATAAAATACAAATAACAAAAATGAGTGAAATAAAATTTTTATCCGATAATGAGATTTTAAGATAATCTAAATAATAATACCAAAGAAATTTTTAGGTTAAAAGATTTTTTTTAAATACTACTAATATATTGAAATATTTATAAAAATTTTCAATACCGCAAAGCTTTTTCTTTTTTTCTAAAAAAAATTCCAAAAAAATAAACGAATTATTAAATAAAATTTTTCTCCAAAATAGGGCAAATAAAATATGCGTATTAATATTTCGTTGCATGTATGCCATTAATATTTAAAAAATTAACACAAGCCTTCAAGGGCCTCTGATGATAGTGTTTTAAGGTAATCTGAGTAGCAATACTTAATAAATCTTTAAGTAAGAAAATTTTTTTTCAATGTTACAAATTTATTGGAATATTTTAAGAATACTTTTAATAACAAGACTCAAATTTATTTTTTTCAAATAAAGTAAAATAATAAAAAAACCAAGATTATCACAAATAAAGACAATCAAGGAAATTATTTTTAAATGTCAAAATTAAGATTTTTTTGTCAAAATAAATGATAATATATAATTAATTAATACCATTTTTACCGAATGCTGTGAGAGTGCTAAACATTCTTCATATATGACCAAACTCTTAAACTCAAACTGTTTTATAAATTCTAAAATTATTTTTATAATAAATTTTAAAATTTTATTAAAAATATAAATTTTAATATGTGATCAATAATACCTAATTAAAAAATTTTGATAATGACTCTCTTTATTTTTAAAATTTTTTTAAAATAATTTTTATCTAGCAATTTGAAAAACCATTATGACAACACCATCAATACGAAATTTTTAAATTTCTCAAACGATGTTAAAAAATTATTATGTGTATTTTAACTATATTAATATTTTATTTTTTAAAAGTATTCTAAATAGATATTTGACAATCATCTAATCCAGCAAATGAAATCTAAAAAATTCTATTAACAATGTATAAGATAAATTGTTTTTACAAAATACATTGTTTAATTAATGAAATACTTTATATGTAAAGCCAGGATGTAGGAATATCAATCGGACAGAAATGGGGCGGAAAGTGTGTTCCCTGTCCTCGATCTTAATTTTTTCTACCATCCCCACGTTCAAGAAAAAAAAATTTTTCTCCATCCTGTGAGTATTAAATGAGAAAAAGAAAATCATTGTTTCTCTTTATTTTTAAAATAATTAAAATTAAATTTTGGGTTTTTTGAAATTTACGAAATTATTTATTTGATTTTTGTATTGTATAACTTTCAAAGGATAGTTCTATCATTTAACATTTAAAATATATTTATTTATAATTTATATAAATTTTATTTTATATATAGAGACGAGGCGAGACAAGGATCCGTTCTCCATCTCCAAAAAAAATTTCAAACTCGTTTCTACGTAGGAGTGAGTAAATGATCGTTTTGATCGGTTAAGTTTGAAAAAATCAATAATCGACTTAATCGATTTTAATGTAACAAATAATCGAATCGATCGAATATTATTAAATAATCGATCATAATCAAATCGATCAAAATCGATTCGGTTCGATTAAATAATCGATTTTTTATCATTTTTTTTATTATGAATAATTATTTAACCACAAATTTAATTCAATAAAATTTAAACTCTAATATTATTCAAACTAAATTACTAAAAATTTAATAATTTCAACAATATTTTACAAAAAAAATAAATAAATATATTTATCTCAATTTTTTTATTTTTAATTATTAGAAAGTCGATTAATTCGGTCAGTGTGATTATCAATTTTAAAAATAAAAAAATAACCGAATTAACTAATTTAATCGATTTAAAAAATCGATTATAACTAAAACCGAATAAATTGAACCGATTCAACCGAATTCACTCAATTTCAATCGATTTAGTCGGTTCAAATCGATTTTTGCTCATCCCTATTTCTATCAAGATTAAAATCAGATTTTTTATCAAATCTATTTTAAATTTGGGTGAAATCAACAATCCTAATCAGATGTTTTTAATCTTATAAGGCATGATTTACTCAAATAATAGAAAATAAACTAATGCATATAATTAATAGTCATAAATTTTTTGTATATTCTTCAATTATATTTAAATTGTTTTTTTTTTCTTTGCCAAAATATTTAAATTGTTTTGTGTACGTAATAGGAGTAATGCGTTCATGCGACCCAGTTTGGACTAAAGGATTGGGTTTATATTCAGACGACAACATCCAACATAAAGTCGAGCTTGCAAATTTAGATGGGTCATTACTGAATTTGTACCTTCTTAAACTTAGTTTTGATACCGATTATCGATTATTCGTTAGATCAGTTGATACTTAAAAGGTTATAGATTCGATAAAATTTAAGTATGTAATATTTTTTTTAACAAGATATAAAACAAGATAAGGGATTTAAGGGTAAATTAAAAAATTAAAAAAAAAAGCTCTATTTTGATAAACAATAAGTACAATGGGAGCTACACTAACTCTGTAAAAGATTAATCACCTGTCCAAGTAGAGCTTAATGTAATAAGTAAGCACTATATACTTTGAAGTTTGAACTAGTTTTTGTTGGCATAGGAAAAGGTGAGAATTTTCTAACCTCTTTTTACCGTTTAGGTCTCAAAGTTAAAATAGCTATTTTTAATTGTGATTAAAAAAAATTATTATAACTGTGATTAAAAAAATTTTTAATTAAAATTTTATATTGAATGCATTTCATTGAAGTAAATGTTTGAATTCAATTGAAAGTGCCATTGAGTTCAATCGTATCACACTAAATATATATATATATATATATATATATATATATATATAAACATCTTTTACAATGAGTGGCTTAGTATTTATCATAATGTGAATGCAATTTTTCCACATGCTATATGAAGAAAATGATGGCCATCTCCCCACTTAGTTTAATTTGAAAAAATTAGCACTCCCGTTTTTATGAATTACTGGAATATATATATTCTTTTCCCAAATTGCAGCTGTATAACATGAAAACCATTACAATATTAATCCCAAATATTTTTACTTATAACATTTGTATATAAATTATAATTAGAAACAAAATCCCCCATCAAAGAAGGTTCCATGGTGTAGTGGTTAGCACTCTGGACTTTGAATCCAGCGACCTGGGTTCGACTCCCGGTGGGACCTTTTTTTCCTCTATTTTTAATTGCTTGAACCTTCAATCTCCTTTAAGTTTCAACAGTACTGGAGATAATTTCCATTTGCCCAGGTTAAGGCTCTTAACTTGAAGCAAGTACCTCTTTGCTGGCCGTAAGTGCCCACCAACTCTTTTTTTTTTAGCATATGAAGGTTTCAAATTGTAAACTTTTATATATGACTTTTGTTTGCCAAATTGCTTATAATATATGTAGTACTATCGGATTTGTATGATTCCATTATAACTTGTATAGATTTCCCCTTGTGTTGAATAGTTGAAGTTGCTGGCTAGAGCTGTCTTCCCCAGATGTCAATGGTATATTTATAGCAGCAGCAACCAAAAACTTTTTAACACTTGAAATAGACATTTCAACTTGGGAATATTGGTCTTTACACAGTTTTAGCTTCTAATCCAATCCCATTCCCATTTGAAGTTTGTTTGTTTAAAAGATAACTTCTCTGCCAACAATCTCTTAATCCAACTGTTCGTAAATTTGGATTTGAATTCAAACAATTTTAATCTCATTTCAATAAAACAAAAACCTCCCCTTAAAAGAAAAAATCTTTTGTGTTTGAATTTGTTGCTTTAGGATATCAAACCTGTAATCATAATCATGCCGACGTAAAGTGGCATCAAATCCGACCATGGGGCTTGACCCTTCGTTTTTTCTTTTAAAATATGACTACCACCATTCCTCCCCGTTACATCTCCAAACTCTTTTCCTCTCTTGATTATCATTTTTCATTTTTTTTTAAAAAGAAAAGACACTGTATTAAAGCCATTAATGTAATGCCAGGTCATGAAGCATGGGAGAGAATCGTATGTTAGTGTATAACTGACCTTGTCGGAAACAAGAATTTACGCACAGTTTTTATGCGTATCTCTGTGAAATCTAATCTGCCCTTGTCTTTTTGAAACTGTTGACCAGCTCGATGGTGGATCATAATTAGGGTTACAACGGGTCGATTAAGATAAATTTTTTATCGTCTTAAATTTAATTTGATTTTATTTTTATAAAATTTAAATTCGATTTGATTTAATTTTTTTTATTTTTTTATATTTGAATTCGATTTGATTTAAAATTAATAAAATATTATTTTTTAAAATATAATTATATAATTATATATAAATAAAAAATTAAAAAATAAATTTTATATAATATCAAATCAAATCAAATTTATTTAAAATTAAAATTAATTTTAATTTTTTTTAACACTATCCAATTCGACTCAAAATTTAATTTTTTTTAAATTGATCTTATGATGTAAAAATGAAATCAAAATCAGTCGAATGTGAATTGATCTGTCAACTCTAAGCTGATTGGCTAAGTTAGCTGAGGAAGGAGTATCGAAATTACAGAAAAGTCAACTGCCAACTTTTCTGTATATATCAGAAAATAAAGTAAAAAAGAGCAGCCTTTCTAATTTCTTTGCCGCCTTTTGCCAAAAAAGAATCTTTTTTTTCTTTGTTACTACTATTATTCTTCAATTTTCTACGTACCCAATTGAGAAAAGAAAAGAAGGTTGAACTTTTCGAAGATGATAATTGCCTCATCCGCCAGATTTGGCCAATGAAGCCAACCATGGTGATAGTTTCATCAGAACTTATAAAGCTTGGAAGGGCAGCAATGTAAGCAAAAAAGCTTCTTCTTTGATTGGTTTGTTTATTTTGGATCTGAACTTTAGGGTTTATTTGATGGGGTCAGAAGTGTATGTACATGGGTTTTTGTTGCTGTGTTTGATCGAAAAGGTTTTTTTTTTTTTTAAGCTTTGTAACAAAATAATGGTGTTTGGCTAATTGGGTTGTTTTGATTTAGCTTTTTATTGATTTTATGTTGGTCCAATTATCTTGGGAGTTCACCATGTTGAATAACATTTGCCAATAGGTGAATTGGGATCAATTTGTTAGTGAGGGAATTGATTAAGCCTGACATGCAACTCTGGAATTTTGCGAGTTAATTGAGATGCTACAATTAATCTGACCCAATTTTAAGCATATGGAAGATCACTTTAAGTCACAAGTTTAGATTAATTTTGTGAGAATAATTATGGGATAATTGACCTGTAATACAAGTGCAATGCATTTGTTTTTAACTATGGTTATGCCAATGTTTTATGGGTGCTTTTTCTTTTTTGCAGGCATTTGTTTTGGGGGGAAGGATTATATTTGGACCTGATGTGAGTTCCCTTTTCTTCACCATCTTCTTAATTGCTGCTCCCGTTGCTGTCTTCTGTGTGTTTGTAGCAAGAAAGTTGATGTATGACTTTCCTCATCACCTGGGAATACCCATAATGGCTGTTGTTGTGGCTCTCACTTAATGTATGATGATGATGTCTCTAAATTCCTTTATTTGTTGGTTTGGTGCAGCGGAGTTACAGGTTCTTCTTCATGTTTGTCTTCTTTGCAACTCTTCTTTGCTTATGTGTGCATGGACTTTGTTGGGTGTATATCAGGAGAATCATGGATAGCGAGGAGACAACAATCTGGAAAGCGATCACTAAAACTCCTCCCTCCATTGTGCTTTTATAATCTACACCTTCATATCAGCCTGGTTTTTGGTGGACTAACTGTCTTCTATTTGTATCTAATCAGTACAAACCAGGTGGTATTTTATTTTCCATTTATATTTTCTTAGGCTTGTAACAGCTTGATTCTTTTTTAACGTTCTTTTGGCAGTCTACTTATGAAAACTTTAGATACCGGTATGATTGTCGTGAGAATCCATACAGCAAAGGGGTCATTGAGAACTTTATGGAGATATTCTGCACCAGTATTCCTCCATCCAAGTCAAATTTCAGGGCAAAGATTCCAAAGGAACCCGCAATTTCACCTAGAACAGTGAGTGGAGGTTTTATCATTCCAAACAAGTGAAAAGCCAATGGTGACATTGAAATGGGGAGGAAGCCAGCATGGGATGACACTTTAGGAGAGAGAGGTGATTATGATATGGAACAGGACAGAGGATTGCCCCATGCGTCTCCTGATTTAAGTTGGATCCTTCCCCAGAGAACACGGGGGTGGTGTCATGCATCATCATAGGCGTTCTAGTTGGCGAGGAAATAGTGAAAGATGGGAAATATCACCCAAGATTCTTCCTTTATCCAGAGTTGGAGAATCAAAGAGGATGAATGGTAGGAACAATGCTGAATCTACAAATGGGAATCAACGATTTGAAACAAATTCTGAATCATATATTAAACAGAAGAAAGATATTATAAAAGTTTTTTTTCCTCGAGTCTTAAAAGAAGATTAAGATGAAAAGAAGGGGCAAAAAGTGGTGTGGTTTTGGCTTTTAGGTTGTTAATTTGTCACATGGATCTTTTTAGTAGTTGACAGAGGTACATGCTTTACTCGCATTAGAAAGTGACCATGGTGATCGTGGTTCCTGATAGCCCTTCCAACCTCGTGGGATTCTAGAGTTGTGAGACTTCTCAAATCAGCAGCCAAAATGTGCTTAAATTGGTGTAATTGCTTGGGGTTTTCTCAACTCAAAAGTTGTCCTTGTATAGGAATTTTATCAGAATAAAACCAGTATCGGTTAAAAAAAATACAGCAGATTTTCAGTCAATAATTACCTGTTGAGATGCAAGTCAAGGTCACAACTCCAGGACTGCGCACAAAGTCTCCTCCAGTTACTGCATGGACTGAACGCGTTTCATAATGATAAGGGTCACATCCATATATCGCTGAGCACAATGGGAAAGGCAAGCTGATTCACTCGAGCTGAATTTGTTCCCAGGAGTACTTGTAATACACTTGTCCCAGCACACACTTGTAAGATTTGTCACCATCTCATTGACCATGGCTTTTTCCTTTTCTTGCTGTGTATAGCCACAAAAAAGGCAAGATATTAAGCTTCTCAAGGTATTGGAAAGATTACATTCAACTATTACAATAATAATGATTAAAGCAAAGGTTGTCAAACTATTTCAAGTTTTCAACAATCGTCAATCCATCACAATTCACAAACTTGAGATATATAACTAAAGACCCCTCTCTTTTTTATTTTTTGCAGTTCCTTTCAATGCTCATTCCTACCCATTTTACTTTTTCTTTTTTTTTTTTGGGTACTAGGAGATAAATAAAACGACTATAGCCTAAGATGGACAACTCCATAAATATCTGCCTGAAGCATTTCAGAAGTTCTTGACAGTACTCTAACCTTGTAAGTCCCTGAATTGCATCATGCACCAGATTTGCTAGGAGTCTCATTAAAACATCTGAAAAAAAAGCTACCAGTCCCCTGCAATCCTCCAATAACATGCCCAAAAGATGGCTTATATTGTCTACATTTCTCTCTAAAATCAAAACCACAATGGCTGCATCCACCTCCACTATCAAGTTTTATAAACCCATCTATCTAGCCATTCTTAAACCCTGTTTAACCACCCCAAACTTCTGCTTGTGAGCTATCAGTCTTCCCGATGTTGATCATAAACGAAACATGCCAATTAGTAATATTTAAGGTTACCACAATTAAACTAAATGGATTTGCTAACTAGTATCCTAAAGACACTCTCTAAGGTTACCACAATTACAAATATTTTCGCCCAATGCATTGAAAATCAGCGTATTAACTATCATCTACTGCACTTAATGAGAGAATATCACCATAAATAGAATACTAACAAACCTTAAAGTGTAATCATAGGGCATTCATGACCAAAATCCATACTAAAAAACAATACTACAATTAGCCATTGTGTTTAAAACTAGACCAGAATCTAATGGTTTCCACCTAAACAATAAACAAAGGCAAAAAATGTCATATGCAGTAGGTAAAGGGAAAGTCATGAATCCATTAGCCTAACTTAGCACCATGATTTTGTTTCAGATTTTCTTTGATACCAAAAACTTTATAAAGCAATAAAATCAAAAGCCCATCAGTGTAAAACCCATCAACTTCTCAAACCAAAGATGTTCACTTTGGATCATAAGTTAACAAAATTTAGAGCAATTAACAGATTACTACTTTTTTTTCCTCGGCAATAAAACAAAAGAGAAAGAGAGGGAGAGAGAAAGCATACACTAAGGAATCGTTGCAATTCAGCAGAATTGAGAGATGGGTCCATTTGGAGAAAGATTGAATTTAGAAGTGAGAATAAAAAACTGAACCCTCTTTCAATCCAACAAACTTAGCATCAAAGTTCACAAAAACCCTAAGAAACTGTGACTTATGCAAAGCAGAGAAGCAAGACAATCACAATAAGCAAGGAGGCAAACCAAATGGGCCGAGATTTCCTGCTGTGAAAAGATGGATTGGCCCATTTTAGATCCATTGATCTTCCATGATGGGCTAAATCTTTTTTTTTGGGGGCTACAATATTATTCTTCAAATTGAACCTAAAATTCTGAAATTAAAGTTTGAGATTAATGATTCCATTGTTCAAATCTTTCTTCCTAATTTTTTTTTATAATTTGAAAATATTAGATGTTATTACAAATCTCAATTGTTAGGTTAAAAAATTTTCATCCTTCCTCCCCAATTCGAGTCACATTTTGTGAGTGCGCATATATAAATATATATATATACGAGGGTTTAATCTAATTATATATTAAATATAATAATTATTAAATATTTAATTTAAAATCAATTGATAATAAGTAAAGAGATTTAATTTAACTATAAAACTATAAAAAACCTTAAACTTAATCAATGTGGGATTACACTACTTAACAAATTTAACAAGGAATATATATAAAAAAACATTCTAAGACAATCATGCGATTTGACTAATACGCATTAAAATGAATTTAAAAGATTTATAATAGTGAAAATTTAATTTAAATTGAAAAATATCATAAAATTTAAGACTATAATGTAGATAACCCTAAAAACTCTGTAAAGCAAATTATTTGTTAAAAAAGTGTTGGGATATAATTTAATGTTTAAAATGCTAATTAAAAAATTAAAAATGCCAAATATGAATTTAAAAACTTTTAACTTAGAATCTTAGTATTATATTACATTGACTATTTTCATAAAGCAATTTTGCGTTGATCAAAAATATTTTAAATTTTATTACATGTAATAGTTATATAATTAAAATTAAAATTCATAATATTTTGTTTATCTTCAAGTTTATTAAACTGTATACAGTCGATATGTTTCAATATATTTCAATCTAAAACAATTTTATAAAATTATTTTTAAAAAAATGGATTTCAAATTAAATCAATTATAAATTTAAATAAAAAAAATCTATTCTAATTTAATCCGTTGTCATCATTTGCAAGACCAAAGGTGGTACAAATAAAACATGTGACTTTTGTTGCTCGAGCATTAATGAGTTATATGAAGATAGCTCAATTAATAATGTAAAGTACGGAGCTGAGCTCAGATTTCTATATCAATATGGCGTGGAAAATGGAAAAAAAACATCTTCGCCGTTAAGAAAAGAATCGATTCCACGTCCTCGTAGGAAAGCCTCCTTTTCCTTTGACAATTTTGCTCTCTCTTTTCCCCCATTTTATATAAAAATTCTTTAACTTTTTGTTAGTTTATTTTTCAAACTTAACTAATCTTCGATCCAACCATTCATGTAAGAATACGTGAGAATATAATATGACATAAATATATATGTACATAAAAATTTAAATTTATATTTATAAGATATTTTTTATAAGATAAAATCATAAAAATTTTAAATTAAAATAAATAATATTTCATAAATTAAAAATACGTCTCTATAAATGATATTAAAATAATCATTAATCGAACGTGAATTAAGTATTATATTATAAGAGTCAACTTTAAAATCTCAAAATAACTAAATACGATATGGTATGAGCTATATTTATATTCTTTATATGTGATATAATTTTAATTCTAAATGTGCTATGTTTTAGGCTTAACAAAAGAGATTATAACGTCTCTAATCTTACATTAAAAAATTTAAACACATACTTATGAGGTATATATTTTAAGAAAAAATCATAAAATTTTTGAATCATAAAAAATAATATTTTATAAGTTGAATATGAATCTTTATAATATAAAAATTAAGAAAATTGCTATAAAAATATAATATTGTATCAACATATATAATCACGAGGTAATTTTTTATTTAATTAGTGAGTATCCTCTTCGTATAAATGAGGTTTTTTTTTTAATCTTTTTTCACATTAGTAGTGAAGGTAAAATTACTTGGCTTGTAACACAAGGGACATAAAATTTTTCCTCTAAAACAACTTAAAAAAGATTATGTTTGGTCTGTCAAAATTACTGAAAATCAAGAGAAACGTCAAAAGAAAAAGAAACTTATAATAAAATATTTTATTTTTGTCAATTCAACAAAGTAGGATAATTTATTTAAAAAACCTGTGTCAAAATATATTCTATCTTCAAATTCTAATTTTTTTAATATTACATATTTTTAATATTATTAGCAACAAAAGATGGATGAAATTAAGCCTGACTGACTGAACCACTTGTAAAGAAGAGAAGATGGAGAGATTAATTAAAAAGAAATAGCAAATTAAAGAAATAGAGCACTATATCTAGTACAATGTCAGGTTTGAAACTTACACATTAAGTAAAATTTTAATCTCAACCGCTGTGTTGACATTACTATATATATATATATATATATAGTTGGATATTAATTATTAGCAAAAAATTTTCAACTACCAAAGAGAGGAAGCAACCTGGACGATAGATTAAGACTTGTCTTTTTTATTTTCTTTGTCTCATTTATTTATTTATTTATTTTAACATCTAAAACTCTTAATTTTTTATATTTTAAAATTTTTTATTTTTTAATATTAAAAATCATGAAACTTTAATTTTATAAAAAATTTAAATTTTAATATTAAATATATTAAAATTAAAACTTTATTTTTAAACTTCATAAAATCAATACATAATAAATATTTTATTTTAAATATTTTAAGACGGAAGAAATAAATAAATGTTGTGTTTCGTAGATCAATAAGTCAGGAATCATATCCTGCTATTAGAAAATGCTTTTCATTCGATTAAATGATCAATCATTCAATTATATCGAAATTTACAACTAAAAATGAATAAATTATATATCATTGGAGCAAAAAGAAAGAGTAAATCAAAGTGATAACCCTTTGGAAAGATTTAATTCCAATTTATGTCCATTTGAAACTAAAACAAGAATGGGGGACCATGCTACCAAATTTAGAAGGGACCAAGCGTGAAAATTTTGCACGGCTATGAGGGGAGCAGTGCCCTTTCAGCCTGGGTGTTCTTGACTGTTCCTTACTTGGAATAGAGGCTTTGTTGGACATTGAAACCAATCAAGTTGAAGAACTGTCGTATGCTAATAAGGTTGTAGTATCACATACTTTGCTGTCAACTTCGAGCATTAATCTCCTCCTTTGTTTTCTAATACAATGTTAAAATGTTCAATTAATTAGCCATTTCCCTTTCAACTTCAACTAATCCAATTTTTGTATGTATGTATGTATGTATGTATGTATGTATGTATGTATTATTAATAAATACAGGGACCATTGATTTGTTTTGTTTCTTCCTTTGCCCTATAAATACTTGAGATGGCTTTTGCTTGACTTTTACCTCTCATCTTGAGTTTACAGAAGAAACTCTCAGGCTCCCAGGGAAATTAAGGCTACTAATTACTTTGAAGATGAACAAGCAGCTTAATTTTGTTAGAGATAGAGTAACCAAATTGCCACCTGGCTTCCGTTTCCAGCCAACAGATGAAGAGCTTGTCTTTCAGTACTTGAAATGCAAGGTCTTTTCCTTCCCTTTGCCTGCTTCAATCATTCCTGAGCTCAATGTTTACAAGTATGATCCCTGGGATTTGCCAGGTACATCTGTTCTCCACTTCTAGACTTTTTATACAAGTTGTTTCTAGCTTGCATGCATTGTCTATGGATGGTTATCAAGACAAAATATCTGTATATAATTACGTTGATGGAAAAATTTTTATACAAAAGAAGTCAAATAAGAGAAAATATTGCAGATATCGGGTCGTATTCCACAGGAAACATGCTAATTTTTCATAGTTTTGTAAAGTTGTAATTAATTACTTGAATTCTACTCATTTCACTAGGTGGGTTGGAGCAAGAGAAGTATTTTTTTAGCGGTAAGGAAGCCAAGTATAGAATCGGGACCCGGATCAACAGAGCGACTGCTTCTGGTTATTGGAAGGCAACCGGGTTAGACAAGCAAATTATATCAAGGAGAAATCAAATAGCAGGGATGAGAAAAACTCTAGTTTTTCACATGGGGAAGCCTCCACATGGGTCTAGAACTGATTGGATCATGCATGAATATCGTCTAGTTACTGTAGCAAACAAAGATTGCAACTCTCCACTGGCAAAGAACCCAATAATCGAGGCAAGTCTATATATATATATATATATATATATAGCTGCATCTATCCATGAATTGGATATTATTATATTTCCAGTTTTTGATATATTATTGTTAATCCAGTGGTTTAATTTGATATTCCACAGAATTATTTGAATCATCACATGGAAAAGTGGGTTGTCTGTCATATATTTTTGAGGAAAAGAAATAAGAAAAGTACTGATCAGGAGGAGATTACTCAGAGTTGTTTCAATAATAATATTAAAGAAGTGAAAAAACCAATGGCAGTGGTTCATCATATTGAGCCAAAATTCTTTTATTCTATGAGAGAAAAAGGTGGCATAACAGCTGTGTCATCTTCCTCATCATCATCTTCTTCAGGTTCGAGCAGTAGTATCACTGAGGTTTCTTCAAGTGGAGCAGACAACATTGGAGAAAGCAGTAGCTGCAATATTGTATTTTGAACTTGTTAAAGCACAGATCAGAGCTCTAGATCTGCAGGCAGGTGTTTTCTCTTATATTTTGCTGTTAAAATAATATATCTAGACTTTTGAAAACTATTGTTGCATAGGATGATATATGGAATAAGACGATCATTTTATATTATGTTTTATTTGTATTTAAATAAAAAAAAGATAACATTATAAAGAAGATTAATAATCGTTTTGATATAAAATGATTCAAACTTTTTAAAATTGAGAGCATTATTTTTAATTCATGAGATTAAACTTATGTTCATGTTTGATGCGTAGGATGATAATCATCTTATATTATATTTAGTTTGTATAAAAACAAAAGAAATAAGATTATAAAAAGGATTAGGAGTGTTCATTTGATCAATTCGGTTAATTTCGAACCGAATTATCCAAAATCAAATTAACCAAATTACATTATTTTATTTTCATTAACTGAACCAAATTTATGAATTTCAAAAATTAACCCATCAAATTTAATTCAGTTAATTTAGTTAATTTTTTTGGTTAACCGAACAATATATATAAGTTAAATTATATTTTAAACTCTTAATTTCTCAATTTTAAACAAACTAAAAAACATTATTTAATAACATATTCAAATACTAAAGTATTATGTTAAAAACTCTAACAAGTTATAGAATTAAGTGATCCATTTTAAGTATTTTTCATTTTATATTTGGATTATGTTATATTTTAGTTAAAATTTCGGTTAATTCAATTAATTCGATTTTCGAACTGAATTAACCGAAAATTAAAATTTTTCTAAAATCATTTTTGTTAATCGATAGAAATTAATTTAATAACCGAGTGACTAACCGAAATAAATCAGTTCATTCAGTTAATTTGATTAAAACTGAATTATAAACACCTCTAAGAAGGATTAATCATTTTCTTAATATAAGATGATTCAATTCTCCCAAAATAAAAAAAGGATTATTTTTATCTATGGAATTGAACTTACATGTCTTATTATACCATTAAAAATTACATGAATAATTTAAATTGTATATATTTTGAGAAAAATAATTTTGATCAATAAATAAATTATACTAAATTAATTCTTACATAAATCAAATACAAGATAATATAATATTATTTAATCTAATATTAATCATAATATTATATTTTCCTATCCTATTATAATCTTATGCACTAAACACATCTTATGTGTCCTATTATACCCTTAAAAATTATATAAATAATTTAAATTATACTTATAAATTTAAAAAAAAAATAATTTTGACCAATAAATAAACTATCATATCCTAATTCTAACACACATCAATTACAAGATAAAATGATATTATTTAATATAATCATATTCATTATATAAACTTATATTATCCTATCATAATATTATAAACCAAACACATCATATATATATATCCATCATGATTCATGAATAATATCAAGACGAAGGCATTAGTCCTTCCAAGAAACTTTTTATGGAAAGGCAATTCATTTTTTTCCAAAGAAAGAGACGTGACGGAAGGGAATAAAAGGAAACCAAATATCTGTCAACTTTGCATAAAGAGGAAACGAAAGTCTTTGGGGGCAAACACCATCAAATAAAAGAAAGAATATCTTCACATGGGATTCACTTCAGCTTCTTTCCTAATTCTTTGAGGTGGAACTATATATATATATATATATATATATATATATATATATATTGTTAATAAAGAAAAAATGTCTATCAACTCTTTTGTAGTACTTTTATATGTGAAAGTGGATTCGGAGCCCAAAAGTGTAGCCAATTCGAGTTAATTATAGTAAGACTAGTTTATTTGCGTCCTAAGTTCTTCTCTTCACATCCCACTTAACACTTAATTTTTTATTCGACACATTTCAAACTCAAAATACAAATTTACTATAAAAACCCAAACACTTATCTCCTCACGCCCCATCTTCTTTAACCGAAACCTTAAATCCTTAAAGGATTAAATCCCAAATCAAACTCCAATCACTTATTTGACGTTAAATAGTTTAAAATTAGAGCTAAATCGTTTATTTTTTTTTTGTTTTTTTGTTTGATTTTGTATTTAGTTTCAAAAGATTTAAAATTTTAAGTTTTGGATGCGATTCAAACATTTTGAAAATGAATTTCAAAAATTGTTGAAGATTTTCTTAAATGGATGTCTAGAATAGTTTAAGAATTTTCAAAAATTTATTTTTGAAATCTTTTAAAAGCTTCTAAATATTCATTTCTAAAAAGTTTTAAAAATTTTCAGAAGTGTATTTTCAAAATTTCTCAATGGTTTCTTGACATTCATTTTTGAAATCTTTTAAAAACTTTTAAAAATAGATTTTTGATACATAAAAACTTGCCATTGTAAGAAAACATTGACCTTGATAATATCATCAATAGACTGGTAAAATTGACATAGGGACCTCTAATCTTTCAGCCATCATGTACTGTCCGTTCAATAACTTTTGTAACATTTTTGTAATTCTAACAAATATGCATTTGAGAGAAATCGCAAAGTTTAAAAAGGCTCTCGTGCAAGTTGGCTTCTACATTATGTACGATGAGAGCATGACTGTCTCATCACACATGTTGCAGTAGCCACTTGCATAAGTGCCTTTTCACAATTACCAATTCTAGTCATATGCTCATTTGTTAAAATTGAAAAAATATTGCAAACATTATTGAATGGACAGTATGGCCAAAAGATTATATGTTTCTACTGCCAAATTTAAATAGCCTATACCTCAGAGAAATCATTAGAAACCCATTAGGCAATCACAATAAAGGATATTCTATATTTTCGTGCTTGACATTGATTATGAGATTGCAACAAAGAACTTGAAATAAAAAATTACTTTCGAAAATGGATTTTCGAATAATTGTAATGCTTTCTGAAAATAAATTTCTATATAATTGCAATGCTTATGGAAATCCATTTCTGAATAATTGTAATACTTTTTGGAAATGCATTTTTAATATATTGAAGGAGTTTTCGAAAATAAATTTTTGGTAACTTATCGAGACTAGGTGTAAAAGACAAAAGGATAATTAATTAATGGATATTTAAGTAATTTTTTTAAAGGTTAATTTTTTTGGGTGTATTGAGAATGAGCGATGTTATTTGCACCCTAACTTCCTCTCTTTACACCCTACTACCATTAACACATAATTTTTTACTAAACACACCCCAAACCTAAAATATAAATTTACCAAAAACCCAGGCACTCCCTCTCTTCATACTTAATATTTTCTCTCCTTCCAATTGAAAACTTAAAAGATTTTAAGCCCCAATCAAGTCAAATTTTTTTTAAAAATTACAATAATTTAAAGTTTAAAAAGCATAAAATTAAAGGCAAATCGTTTGTTGTTTTTATTTTTTCGTTTGATTTTGTGTTTAATTTCATAAGATTTTATGTTAAAATATTTGAATGCAATTCGAAACTTCTAAAAATAAATTTCTAAAAATTCTTAAAATTTTTCAAAAATCAATGTTCGAAAACTTTCAACTTTAAAAAATAAGTTTTTGCAATGGAATATGAAAAATAAAAAATAATTGATTAATAACTATTTAATAATTTTATTAAACATTAAACTTTTTAAATGTATTGAAAAAAAATTTAGGTGCAAATAACAGTATTATTAAAAATTTTTTAGGATGCAAATAGCACCACTCTTATAGCAAAGCTAATGTAGTCCAAAGTTCATATACGGTGGCCTTGGAACTTGTAATGTCAAAAATTGCGCAACCAGACCAGACCTTGGAGAGAGCTTAATTTTAGCAAGAAAGATTGTTTAATGTTGAAATCCCAAACACGCAACAACTAAAAACATTGATGCTATAATACCCCAGCCTAAATAATAATTGGGCTAGACTAATACTAAAGCCCATCAATTTATTAAGACATTATTTAGGAAAAAAAAAATTGAAGTATTAGATGAAAGAAAACTTAATTATCGTGAAACAGAAATGAAATAAAGTTCTTTATCTTGCTTTGGGTTAGAGAATATGAAAAATCAAGTTGGAGATTCACAAACAGAGGCTACAATTAAGTTAATCCCTTAAAGGTCCCTTTTTTTATTTAAAAAAAAATATAAAGTTGATTGCTATTATTTGGAGTTGAAGTTTTGAGAGCAAAACTAAGAAAAATCATGAAATCTTTCATTAATCTTGATGATCTATTTGGGTAAATTACTGAGCTTTGTTTATTTCATGTTCTTAAGATTTATTGATGGTTATTGAATTGAGTTTGAAGGCTGAAAGTAAGGATTTGAATTTTTAAAGATTGAAAGAAAAATTTTATTTTGGATGAGATGTTGTCGATAAAATTCCGGATTATATGACCTTAATTTTGTTAAATGGATAAATAATGATGTGATTTATATATCATGTGAAAGCATTTGGTTTGTTATGATTGAGTATTGCTTGAAAGTGTTAATTTTTAATTATGATTTGTAATGAAACTTTATGATTTTAATTAAAATTTTGTATACATTATTTATATAAGTTTATGAGCAATATTAATAAAAGAAATGATTTGATTTCTTGAATAAATATTATTGATATTATAAGAGTTTTGTTAGCATATAGATGTAGAATTTATGAAATTTTTTTTTAAAAATACTTGCGATTATTTGAAGTAAAGTCTAGTTTCTAACACATTAAAGAAGATCATAATTTCGATTAGGATTATTGAGATATAACTATTTTATATAAAAGATGTCAAGTTGTCAGTATTAATTAGTTTAAAGTTAACCCGTTGTGTAACTTAATGATTTTTGTATAAATGGTCTTAAAAAGGGTTGATAAATTCTGATCTGTTGAAATGATTTTGGATTAGGTCATTAATATTTTGATGGGAAAAACTACGAGGGTTGAATCGAAAAGAGGTAAGGGAAATTCACATACTTTGCTTTGTTTCGAATCTATATATAATATTAATATGTTCTAAATGAAAAGAATGTTTCATTTTTTTAGTTTCGTATATAAAATAAGATCAAACATATGAGTATTTGTGTTTCTCTTATATAAATGAGTGGATCTCATGCTTAATGAATCGAAATGAGAAAATGATTTTGTTTAAAGAATGATTTTATGATGGCTACATGTTTAAATCCCTGGAAAGTGGGATCATCGACACCAGAACTTAATTCTACGACCCTGACTAACGGGTAATAATAGTTAGCAAAAACATGATCATACGACCTTGACTAACGGGTAATAGTAGTTAGCGTAAGCCCTGACTAACGAGTTATAATAGTTAACAATGATCATGAGAATGAAATTGTCGATATGGTCAATGTCACGGGTTATAGCAGTGACCGTAGCTAACGATAAATGAATGATAATGATGATTTATGATGATTTTAATTATTGATCCATGATTTGGTTTGATTATGATATTTGAATGATAGCATATTTTGTAATAATTTATGAAGTGACATATTTTGATATTGATTTACGAATTTATGAAATATTTGACAAAACGATGATCTTGAAATGTTTTGATATTATGATTCGATGAATATTTTGAATGATCTATATGATGTGTAAGAAAACGATGCTTGATCTGGTAAGATGTGTGAGCCAATACTTACTAAGCTGTAGTTTGCTCATTTTTTTTTCTTTTTTTTTACAAATGATAAGTGATAAGTTTGGTTAGTCTTGTGTGAAGCTAGAAGATGAAATGGAAAAGATTATTTAGTCGTCGGAGAATATGTTGACTAATGAGATCTTAAAAGATAGTTTTGTATTTTATCTGATTTGTATTTGCACATATAAAGATGTATTATTAGTTGGATTAAATATATGAATTTTACTTGGTAGATTGTTTTATTGAAAAATTTTAGAATGTTTAAAAAAAAAAACTTCGTATTACTTTAAAATTTTTTTCAAGATAATACAACCGTGTTACATCTTGATTTCGGGATGTGACAGATGCCTTCTCGTCAAAGGTTGTTTTATGAAACATATATATTTTTAAAAAGAGCAGACCTAAACGAATACACTAACTTATAATCTGCAAACTACGTGAAGGATCGGCTTCTTTTGCTTCAGTAATATATAAAAGTTGATTTTGTTAGCATTCAAGAGAAGCTTTGCTAGAGAAAGGAAACTAGCAAGGTTGATAACCCAACTCGTTTTCGACAAGTTACGATCGAATATAATTTTATAAGATTAATTTTTTTTAAAAAAATTAAATTTTAAATCAGATCAAATAATATTAAAAAAATATTTAAATTACATCAAATTTGAGATAATGTTAAGAAAAAAATTAAGATCGAATCGAATTCAAATTTTAAATAATATAAAAATTATTTTTTTAATTAATTATTTAATTAATTATATTTTAAAAAATAATATTTTATTAATTTCAAATCGTATTTAATTGGATCAAATTCAGATATAAAAAAAAAAAAATTTTGGATCAAATCGAATTCAAATTTTATGAATATAAAATCAAATTAGATTCAAAACGAATAAAAATTTGCTCCGACCTCTTGCCAACCTAAAAACTAGTAATGGCCTCCAGTCATCAGTGTCTTGATTGCATGTTTCGCACCGAGTCAGGCGAGCAGTTTCAGGTATTAGTTGCAAGCCTAATCTCCTGTAACGACTATCAGTTTCTTCCTCCACAAGGGCATTCCATGATCGGTAGTTTCATCAGGATTATTTATACATCATCACAACATGCAATGAAGAAGATACAACAAAAAGCCACTTCCAATCATTGTCATCCAAAAAACTGTACAACAAAAAGTGCAATTGTATTGGCAGATTATACACCAAATCACTTGGGATCTGGTGGGGATTATACACCAGATATTTATATGATCGGATACAAATAAATCGGGGTGGGGTGGGGTGGGTTGGGAATGAATGGGAAAAATGCATTTTAAGTTCCATGAAGAGAATGAACATCTCCACAAAATTTATAAACTTGTAATACTATTCTAATTCTGGCTGTGAAAGACCTCAGATTTACCTCTAAATATTGTATCCATGGATAGGCCTATTGAGGATGGTTTGAAACCACGGATTAACTTTCGAGATGCCGCTGTCTGGGGGTTTTTGTTCGTTTTCGTTCTTCTTGAAGGACCACCAGCAGGCACAGAACTTTTAGCAGATCCTGGTGACTTGGAGTTGAAAATTGATGAGCTGAAAAAAGTGTCACTCACACCAAATGATATAGGCCCTTTATGTGATGCATCTACTGGATGCCCAACAGCTCCATCTTGATGGGGAGGTGGGAATTTCTCACTCTTGCTCACAGCATTTGTTTGTGTCATGACTCTCCATTTCTGGGAACCAGCAAACAATCAGGTATTTGCATCAAATTCAAAGCAAATGAAGCTCACAAGAAAACCATGGGAAAGAAACAGAGCAAACACAATAAAACAGACATAATACTAGAGAAAGGTATCTCAGAATTCAGCCTTACCTACCAAAGCCAAAATTTTAACTGATGATCAAAAGTTTATTGCTAAGCAACTAATACTTATAACTTCAGTTACAACTGACACATGGAGATAAAGTGCCACAATTAAAAACCATTGCAACTAATAAAACTAATATTCATTACGTGGCAATTGGCAAGAAATATGCAGCCAGGAAACTTCATTTGTGAGAAAATCAACTTGAAACATAACATGCGACTTTGAACTTAACAAGGTGCAATTTGGCAAGTAGACAGTGGTTATGACTCAACCAAATTTTAAAGTAAGTGAAATAAAAATAAAACAGTAAAAAAGCTTAAGTAAGAGATTAGAAGAAGAACAAAGTCTCCTACTCACATCTAAGTTTGCTTGAATCTCTGCATTTGCTTCAGGAACTGGAACTGCCCGACTAGCACGTTCACGAACTTTAATTCTCCTGGCATCATCAACTGCATTAACTTTGCTGGCTAGACCTCTTTGCCTATACAGGAAAAGTGTTTATCAGCTACCAGCATATAGCCAAACTGGGCAAAGAAAAGAAAAGGTGAAAAAAGAAAGCCAGCCGACCTTCTTGTTTCTTCATCTCTTAATTTTACATCCAATTCTTTACAGGGAGGATACTTTGGTAAACTTGATGGCTCACAAGCGTATGGTTCAGTGGTAAAGAACTGCAAACAGGAAACCAAATATTTCACAAATTAGTTATAGATACACAGCAAGCCAATGATGAGAATGGAATATTAAGTATTCCACAATAGATATATGATAATGCAAAGGATATAGGTCATTCAAGTCCAGGAATCCACAACATATTCTTAGTCAGGCTATCAAGCAATAAAATCCATAAAGCTACCTTCAAATATATAAATAAAGAATTGATTTGCTTGAGAGATGCATTAACTAAGCTGATATAAACTTACTTCACTATTAAGAGCTTCTGTGGCAGTACTTCGCTCCTCAGGATCTATTGAAAGAAGATTTTCAATTAAAGGTAAAGAAGAAGAAGGAAAATCCTTGAAAGATTCTGCTATACAGCGTTTGTATGGCTGCTGTGGCTTAAAGAGTGTTGCATTTGGCAACTTGGATTTCTTCCAATATTCCTCAGAAGGGGATCCACATAACTTGAATATCTTATGCAGTTGTTCAACCTAAGCAGGAGACAAAATCTGATGTTAGCTCCTCCCATAAAAAAGGAAAATTTCCATCAACAGATAAAAAATAATATACGACATAATTAAACCAACTAGAAGCAACACTAGTTATGAAACAAAAACCAGACTATTTAGATTTTTTGGCTTCCCAAGAGTCAAGCACTATTAATTGATCAGACATCCTAACCACAGAATATATTCATCTGACTTGACTTGACTTGACAATGGTGGTTCCCCAACAAATACAGCAAGCAACAAACAAGAAGACAAAATATTTGTAAGCATAATTACATGAGGGCTTGCACATGGATGCCAACTTCGGTTCCACCAAATTCACAGAAAATCAAAGATCTGATGGGATTCAAAAAATAATAGAGGCTTTAAAATCAGACCAAAAAAAGAGAGAGAAAATTAATACCTCTGTCCTTCCTGGCATTATTGGCTTCCCAGAAAGTAGCTCAGCCAAAATGCAGCCAGCACTCCAGAGGTCAACCCCAACACCATAATAAGTTGCCCCAAGAAGTAGTTCAGGTGGACGGTACCAGAGTGTGACTACTCGACTAGTCAGGTGCTTCTTCTGCTCAGGATCATAAAAGGTAGCGAGTCCAAAATCAGCAATTTTTAAAATCCCTTGATTGTCAATAAGCAGATTAGAACCCTTGATATCACGATGCAAAACTCCTTGTTTGTGGCAATGCTTTAGCCCAGAAAGTAACTGCTTCATATAGCACTTTACCTGCCAGAGGGAAGATACATCAAAATAAACGGATCATCTAAATTTCAAATCTTCAGCCACATAAACCTCATTACCAAACACTGACAATTACAAGTGCATAATGCCACAAGCCATAACCAGCCTTGCATGTCTCTATCCTCGTTTCTGCAAGATGCTAATTAAACTAAATTCTATCTTGAAGTTAAGCTTTTAATTTAAGATGATCATTCCAAGGCTTAACTATTTCTAACTTACTCCTAGAATACCTTCATATACAGCATCATAATTATAAACTAATGCCATTTCTTAGCACTTTCCTACATTGTGCAACAATTATCTAATTTCAGCAATTAACCAACCTTCTAAAGCAAACAACCAACCTCTACAAGCTTATATGCTTCTAAATTTCACTAAATAGAAATATTTGTTTCAAAGGAATTTGCCTTCAAAAGGTGGCAAATCACCATGTTGGAGGAACATTCAGTCACAATTGTAGCTTGCGTGAAGTCAAATCATTGTCATAATATCTGAAAACCTAGATGTTCATCTACACAATCACTTATAGGAAACAATTATTGTTTCATGTTTGCTTCCAAGGTAATGGAGGATGAGAGGGGTAAACTGGTAGTGAATCATCTGTTTACAACCTTACCAGCTTGTTCTGTTTCCAGAAATTAACCAGAAGATAAATAAGTAGCTACACTGTTAACTAACTTTTAAAAAATGATTGGAGGTTTTAGTTTTCTTAGCCATCTAAAAAGTGGCATCTTTTCTTTTCTCGTTATTTCCCGTTCATTCCATCTAGAAACCGTCCAAATAAAGGTATAATTTAAAAGAACTGGAAATCCAACTCCAAAAATTGATGTGAAGAACGAAATTTCCATGAATTTTCATACCCAAAAATAGTACAAAAATAAAGATATTTAAAAAGCTCAAAAGACAGAAATTCAGATTTCAAAACCTCTAGCTATGGGACCCAAGTAGCAAGAGAAATACTAAGAGTAACATGAAGAGCCCACAACAAGCAAAACAAAAAAGTACAAGAACCATATAGTCCCAAAATCTCAGTTAGACAAGCAAGAGCAAAACATGAAAAAGCACCCACCTGAGGCTTAGTGAACTAAAACAAATCAATATGAAAAGTAAAACAAGCAGAAATCAGCAACAAAACACCCCATTTGAAGAAAGAAATGTCACCTGAGGCTCAGTGAACTTGACTCCTTGGCAGGCGGCGAGGCCAGCAAGATCATGCTCCATGTATTCAAAAACCAAGTAAAGGCTACATGACATTCTTGAAGTAACTAAACCTTCAAGCTTGATTACATTGGGATGGTCAAGCTTCCTCAATACAAGAATCTCTCTAGCCATAAACTTTACACTCTCTGGCTCCAAATTGTCAAACCTAACCTTCTTTAATGCCACTATTTTCCCTGTTTGTAGATCCCTTGCTTTGTACACATTGCTATAAGTCCCTTGCCCAATCTTTAAATCCATCACAAAAACAAAAACCCAGATTGTTAAAAGTCAAAATGATTATAAAAAAGGAAGCTTTTTAATCAAGTTGAGAGAAAGTTGATACCTTGTCAAGCTTCTCAAAGGTGCTGGCAAGTCTCGGGGCCCAGTCACGGATTGCTTCGCCGGCAACGGCCATCAGCCACGAAGGCCACCCTTTCTGGTTCAAATCCAGTGGCGTCCGTTGTCTCTCCGGCGCCGGAATGCTCACTGGGAAATTACCGGTATGTCTAGCTTTTTGCTGCTGTTGACTCGGTCTCTCCGGCTCTTTGACATCCACGACGCCGTCAACGGCTTCAGTGACTGAAACTACCGTAGATGGCTCATCAGAGCTCCGGCGACGACGAGTACGTGGAGGATGTGATGGAGCTGAAGTGTTGCTCCGCTGCCGGCGGTCCGATGACGGAGGTTGCGATTGCTTTCCGAAGACGCAACCCATTCTCTCAACGCAAATGCATGGGGGGAATGTACTCCGATGAACGGAAAACCACTAGTGGCTTTTAGCACAAAAAACAAGCCTGGCAGTTACACGACAGCGTTTAGAGGAGCGAGAAAAGAATGGAGCTTTTCGTTTTCAATTTTCAGACGAGCTTTAGAGAGACAAGTAGCAGCAGCAGCACCAGCAACAGCAACAGCTTAGCTGAGAAACTCAGGTGAGTGTGAGAGTCCTGGTTTATTTATTTAATTTAATTTTTCTATGTTCATTTGGGTTTTAATATAGGGCGCTGAGTTGAGGAAATACTACACAATTGCCACGGACCGGTAAAAAAAAGTTACGTCATGTCGATGAGAAAGTCAAAACAATGGAAAGTAAAAAGAAAGCTTTTGGGTTCAAATTACTAATTATTACATGATAAGGATGTCAATTTTATATTATAATAAATTTGATTTTTATTTTAATGGGACGAAGATGAAAATAAGTATAATTTTAAATTTTTTATTAAATATAATAATGAAAATAAATAATATAGTATTTGTTTTATATTAGTATTTTATATATATTTATATATTTAATAAATTATTTTTTATTTAATAATATAAATTTTTTTAATTTATTAGAATTAATATATTTGTATTTTAAAATATATATTTATAAAAAAGTATTTAAATATGTAAGATAAAAATTAAAAAATAAATTTAATTTTTTTAAAACTTTTGAGTATAAAAATTATTTATACATATTAAATATTCATAAAAATAAAAATAAAGATAATTTAAAATATTTATTAAATATAAATATAAAAAAATATATTATAAAAAATAAAAAATATTCTATTCCTTTTTTTACTTTAGTTACGGACATCCGTACTATCCTTAGCAAAAAGACACCTGCCATGTTCTAAAGGCCATCTCACAAAATTTATTAATTTTTAATTTAATTTTTAACAAGTGCTCTAAAAACTTCTTTTTTTACCGTAGCTTTAAGATTTTAAAATTAATTAGTAATATTTTTATATATTTTTAGAAATTACAACTTGGAGATAATAATATATTTATATTAAATAAACTTAATACATTCAAAATTAAGTATTTACTAATATATTATCATTGATTTAAAATTTATTAATGAGTTTTTTTATATAAATTGTTATGATAAATATAGTAAATAAAATATTTTCCAAAATAATTACATGCATAATTAGACAAAATCTAAATTAGAGTTATAATTATATGAATGTCTTAAATTTATTAAATCTCAAGTAAGATTCATTAAATATTTTTTATAAATGAGGTTGTAATTTCAAATAATATAAAAGATTATAAGTGCTAAATTTAAATTTTATAAATATTATTTTTAAAATAATTATATTTCTCATACTAATTGAATTAAATTTCATATTTAAGATTGTTAATTATATTTTCAATAACATGACAAAAAATGAAATATAAATAGTGAAAGTAAAGAATTTTTTTATATAAAAATTTTCTCTTATTTTTCTTATTTTTACTTATAAACATACTAAAAAAAAGTAGGAAAGTGGGAGTTAGAAAATATAATGAAAAAATGTTGAAAAAAAGAATATAAAAAAATATTAGTAGCTTTCAAGATAGTTGGATTAAGACTAAGTAGTGGTTGAATTGGTTAGATAATTAATATTTTTTCATCAACTTTAATAAAAGTAAGTAATAATTAAGTTCTAGTGGGTTATGGAATTTTTTTTTTCCAGATTAATCAACATTAAAAAAAATGCTAAGATCCATGCACAACTTCTTAAATAATGCAAAATTTATTAAAAAAATGTCTACGTGGCCGATTATATGAAAAATTAAAATAATCATTTTTATCTTTATTTTAAAAATAAATATAAAATTTAATTAATTAATTTAATTATTTATAAAAATAATATTTAATAATTTTAAAATTTAAATATTAATTTTTTATTTTTTATTTTTAAATTATGATTTTTTGTAATAAAAAATAATATGTTGGAATTTATAATGAAAATTTTGATTTAATGATTAGTAAAGTTAATAATTTACTGAATGCAGTAAAGTTAATAATTTTACTGACTGGTGCTGCAGACTGAAAAACAAGCAGGGTTGTGGCTACACCTACCAAACTGAACCCCTTTCAAAATGGTCTAATTGCATTTATTGTGAGCTACAGAAAAAAACTCCCAAAGTCACACCGTCAGCCATGGGATGACACCACCATGAATGATTTGTATTTATTACGCGACAAACTTACAGTTATTCATCATTATATATATATATATATTCAGATTATGTATTTTCCTGTTACAAAAGCAGCTTTTGTGAGATTAACCCAATTAGAATTGAAGAAAGTAGAACGGTTCCAGGGTGTCATTTGAGCTGTTATGGTGTCTGCAGCTTGCAGGAAATAATGGCGTTGAATGCAGTAAATAATGAAGAATAATAGCCAACGAGGGTTGGTAGTAAAGGGCGAATGCTAGATGTATTAGCATCTAGGTTCGAATTGTCTCATAATTTATTATCGATAAGTGATTTATAAATTTAAAAAATTTATAGGTAAAACTTCAATGAATTTATAAATTTTAATTGAATTAACGATTTTATTTTGATATTTGAGATGAGTAACCTTTTTATTTTAAAATTTTTTTCGTGCCAAAGAAAAATTGAAGAATAATAGGTGTCTGAAGTAGTCGACTCTGGGAATAATTTTAACTGGATCCAAGAACTCTTGAACATGTCTCTGCTTTGCCTGGCTGCTTCCCAAATGAAATGATACCTTGATGGCATATGCATGGTCTATATAAAACCCAATACTCACAATAGAATCATATTTCCAGAAAGCAATAACGAAAGTTCTAAATAACCCATGGTCGTCCATTTGCAGGATAATTGACTTAGTAAAAAAAAATGCAGTTGTCACTTGTCAGAAGGAAATAATACTGACTATGCATGGTTGATAATCAAGGTTTGACTGCCAAAGAGTTACCAGAAGTGACAAGGTATATTAACACTCAAGTTTAAATTTCTCCAAGATTCTTGTTGGTAAACAATTTATAAATTCAATGAATTCGAAAATTTTAATTAGATTACTATGGGTGACTTCCTAATTTTTCTTTTTTGACAAAAAAAATCAAGGTTTGATTTTTTTTGGAAAGCTAATCCACAGACATTGGTCAATGCGTCGAAAATCAGAGGCACGTTAGTTTGACAATGTTGAATTGAATCTGAATCTGAAACCTGAAATCAAATAAAACAAATGATAATGGTTTTAAATATTCTCATATTAAATGCCTTCATTGAATGAATGAGCTGATCTTTTCCCTTTGCTGCCAGTCTCTTTTACTCACTCACCCTCCCACACCTCCCTACATTAATGTGCACTGACTGCCCTTTCTTTCTTTTCAGTTTTCCATCATTTCCTCAGGCTTTTGCTTGCCTCTGCTCAGTTCTCTTTTTGTTTGCACTCTTAATACACGTCTGTACTCTGTACGGTTGGCTTTTGCATCTGAGTTGAGAGTTCAAAAGTCAACTTACAATTCCGTCTTCCTAGAAAGGGCTTCAAAACACAAGCGACTCAACTTGGAGTCTGCTACATACTGTTTTTAGTTGCCGACAGTCATGTGATTATTGGTAAAATATTAGATTTTTTTTAGTTTCAATTACCATAATTATAGCTTTAATCCCACAGAACTTTCCATGTCCTTTCTACTTGAACTTAATCAGCATCACTCTTTTTCATGCAATTCAGAATTAACCTCATTCCAAGGTTCAGTGATTAATTGATCAGAAAGAGGAATTCCTGAAGGATCAACAGAAAGTGGAGTTATCATACAAACAATCTTCAAGAAAGCCAGCATTAGCAGCAGCATCTCAGCAGAATACAGCTGCTGATCAACTAAGTGCAAGTAACAACATGTAATCCAGCAAAAGTTAATAAGCACCTTATATTCAGATATAATACTTTGTGTCATTGTATAGTGTTCAGATTCACCAGGTACATGAAAATTAACTCAAAGGAAGTCGAACAATTGGTAGCTCCAGCGCAGATCAGCTGGATAAAAGCCTTTCAAGGGCTAGGTTTTCGTCACCGCCAACAGCTTCTAGAGTACTTCTCACCAAACCATTGGCGAAACCCATTTCCACAAGCCGTTGCACCTGTACCCATTTGATTCTGACTTAGCAAATTCAGCTCATTAAAAATAAGATTGTCAACATTAAAAACAACGTGTCTGCTATAAGGCAAATGTCTATTGTTAAAAAAGGATGCCACCTCTCAGGAATTTACTCGGTACATACTTCGCAAGAAAGTATTTACTTGCTTCTATGAATATCTAGATGCATAACGAATACAAACCTTTTCCTCGATCCCTAAAGAAGAGGCCTTGGCAAAACTTTCTGTCCAGTAACGGGCTGTACCAACAAATGTCTGATACTCTCTCAGATACTGCATTAGAGAAGGGGATAAAAATCAATGGCTAGCTGGAGTGATAAAAACTTTAGTGGAAACTAATGAAAAAGAGGCATTAAACCTGGACTGACAGCATACATAGGTTTAATAATCTACAAACTATAGCACATTTAAATAAGGCCAATAAAAAGGACAAAGAAAATTTTGTTAGCATAGGAAAACACATTGAGCAAACCGAACCTGTTGTGCTACTACAGCATCTTGAGGATCATCAGGTTCGGGAGCAGAAAGCAAAGCTTGGACAGAAAGAAGAGCTGTCTTAAGAGTGAGTGCAGGGCTCCACTGGTCCTTCAATATATCCAGGCATATCGCCCCACTTTGACTACTAATGTTCGGGTGCCTTTGGTGGTAACAGAACATAAGGAAGTTTCCAGAGTTAATCACCATCAGAACTTAATTGATCATTTTTCACATCATGTTTATGCATCAACTTGCCAGTAATTGACTCCTAAATGCATCTTGTTTATGGTATCACATAAAACAAAGTTTTGAATCTGAAATTCACATGCAAAACATATTCAAGGGGAAAACAAAGCCATCTGTACTAACTCAAGCTAGTTGCAACAGCATGCAACTGGCAGCATTATACAATTCGCTTTTTCTTTTCTCCTTTCAACATTCTCAAACAACAAGAATTCTTATACATAGTGCTGCATATCTATCATGCAGTAGAAGACAGGAAATTGTTTATACATGTTATTTAGAGTATTTGCTCCAAAAATGAGGGGAAAAGAGAAAAGAAATAGTTTTAATGTAAACCTGATAAATTGCTACAACAAAAAAAACATAATTTTCAAAAAGGGCTCGTGTAGTTTCAGCAATGCAATGAGTGAGAGAAAGCGCAAAACAAACAGTTGTGCCCAGTCAGGATTAGAGATCCAAGTCAAGTTTAATCAAATTATTTTATCAGCACAAAAAGATTAAAAAATTTGCAAGATTATGGATTGTTTCATCCAGCCAAGTCAAAAGGAACAATGTAAAACAAGAATAACAAAAAAAAAAAAGCATAAGAGCAATTAACCAAGTCTTGTGCACTCTCCTTAGGCCATTTTTAAGCACAGAATTTATTGGCCCATCAAGCACACTCACATTCTACTACATTACCAGAAAACCAATTCAACTATCCCGTCCAGTCAACAAATGAAAACGAAATATGCAGACAAAATGAGATGATGCATATTTTTCCTACCAAACTTTGGTCACAAATTTCATTTTCGGAGGCTCAAATGGATACCCATCTGCAAAACAGAAACCAATCACTAAAAAAATCAGTAACCAATGATCCATTCCATATCAAACAAGGATAATTCTCCTTAATCTACCAGCCAATTGATAGTATCTACCAACATTCCATTCAAAAAACAATCCTTTATCAATTTACACACAAAGTCAACATCCCAACTTTATAATATAAACTCGCTTGAAAATCTAAGCTTGGACAAAGATTTCATCTTCTTTTCTGAAATTTTTTAAGAAAAAAAACTTACCCATTAAAAAACCCTTTCTCCTCAACCCAATTCTCAACTCAAAAAAAAGAAAACCCATGAAAGATAATGTAAAAAGATTTAGAATTGTGGTAACCAGGCAATGTGATATCGATTTCAAAGGAGCCTCCTTCATAGGGAGTGCCAAGGGGGCCAGGGATGATGCCAGTCAAGCGAGCGAGATTGTCTGATTTTGGAGAGACCGTAATGCCCGAAGAATCTTGTTCTCTGCTACATTCTTGTAGCTCCTTCTGAACCCGAGCGAAGTCTATCATCTCTCCTCAATTATCGTTCTCGATCAAACCCTAAACCCAGTAACGGAAGAGAGGAGAACAAAAGAATGGTAGCCCAAATTAAAGAAGGAAAACGGGACAGCCCAAACAATAATCAAAACTTTTCTCCACTCTTTGGTCTTTACTTTCTTTTCTTTTTTTTTTTTTCCTCCTGCCCTTTGTGGAGAGAAAAAAAAAATTGAGCAAGAAAATTAGGTTGGAAAATCAATTAGAAAATGATTTACCAGTTTGGTAGGTCGTCATTTTCAAAATTGATTTTTAACCTTTTTTTTTTTTCTAAAAATGAATAGAAAGAAAAAAGAATTAAATAAATAAAAAGTAATAAACTATAAAAATATTTATTAAATAAAATCTTATAGATAGATAGGCAAAAAAGTTTAAAAAATTTTTTTGAACTAAAATTTAACAATCATCCAAATCTTTTTTTTTTACTATTAATTAAATTCTCAAATGTCTATTTTTTTAATTAAGTCTTTATTAGAGAAAAATTGAAAAAAATGATTAATTGATTTCGTCTAAATGAAGATTTAATTAAGTAAAATAAATATATAAAAATTTAATTAAAAAATAAATATTTAAGAATTTAATTGATTGAAAATAAAATTTAAAATTTAATTAATTATAATAAAATATTATGAATTTAAATTATTATTAAATTTATTTGAGGGTTGTTTTGAAATTTATGTCAAATAGATTTTCATGAATATGACCAATTCAGATAGCAAAATTAAGAAAATACTAGTCAATATTAATTTTCAATTTGGTATAATGTTTGGGTTGAAAAATCATGATTCCACAACCCATGAGAAAAAAAAAATCTCCTTAAAATCTTAGTATAGGAAGAAAAATTTGAACCGAATTTGAATTGATGATGAAATACAAAGTCAAATCAAAAGAAGGAAATATTTGACTTATTCATTAAGTATTAAATTTTTAATTTTAATAATTAAAATATGATTTCTTACAATCTTAAATGTATATATATAAGTTTGAAAATATATTTAATAATTAGTTTGCTACCGTATGATGTACATATTATTTTTATTTATGTAAATATGTATAAAAATATAAATTAATAATATTTAATCACTTATATATTTTAAATATATATAATACATATATTATAATTAAGAGGTCAAATTATAATAAATTGATTATAAATATCTTTTGAATTTAAAAAATATATATAAGTGATATTTGTGTTTTGAATTAAAAAAAAAAAGATTAAAGGATTATAAAGAAAGTTAGCAAAGTAAAAATATCCATTTGAAAGTTTTAAATTTAAAAAGAGATATTTCTAGATAAAATTTTAATTAAATAAGAATAATTTTTTTAAGTTTTATATTTTTATTACAACTTATTGAGATTTTTTATTTTTAAGAAAAAATCATAGATAATTAATTATAAATAATTTGGGTAAGATTTTATTTTTGAAAGTTTTGATATTTAAATTTAAATAATATATAATAGATATTGTTTATGTGTAAAAAAAAATGTCTATCTAAACGTCCACGTGACAAATCTTATAAAGTTTTATTATCTGTTGTAATATAATATATATAATTTGTAAATTTGTGTTATATATATTTTATGTTAAATAAATATAAATATAAAAATTATTATATTATAATTAGTGTCTATATGATAAATATAAAATATACTTTTTATTTTTATCAAAATTTTAAATTATATATTTTTTATTATTTTCATGTTGAATTATTTTATTCTATTTGAAATTATCATGTATTGGGAAAAATAAGTAATGGACAATGATTAAGCTAAATAAGTTTTGGAGGACCCTTTTCTACGGAGGTGAAGGTAGAAGTTAAGAGTAAGAAAAATTTTGAAAAAATAAAAAATTGATCCAAAATCAATGTTTAGTTTAAATTTTTTATTGAATTTAGATTAAATTTGAATTTTAAATATATATAATGAACTGAATTGAATTAAATATTTTTATTAATTTATATATATTTAAATAATAATTATTTTATACTTAAATTTATTAAATATATTAAAAATTATATTAAAATAACATTTAAAAATAAAAAATAAATTTAAAATTTTAATAAACTGAATGGAACTGTTAAAATTTAATTCAATTCAAATTATATAAAAAATAAATATTTAAGAATTTAATTGATTGAAAATAAAATTTAAAATTTAATTAATTATAATAAAATATTATGAATTTAAATTATTATTAAATTTTATTTGAGGGTTGTTTTGAAATTTATGTCAAATAGATTTTCATGAATATGACCAATTCAGATAGCAAAATTAAGAAAATACTAGTCAATATTAATTTTCAATTTGGTGTAATGTTTGGGTTGAAAAATCATGATTCCACAACCCATGAGAAAAAAAAAAATCTCCTTAAAATCTTAGTATAGGAAGAAAATTTTGAACCCAATTTGAATTGATGATGAAATACAAAGTCAAATCAAAAGAAGGAAAATCTTATATCACAAGGAAATATTTGACTTATTCATTAAGTATTAAATTTTTAATTTTAATAATTAAAATATGATTTCTTACAATCTTAAATGTATATATATAAGTTTGAAAATATATTTAATAATTAGTTTGCTACCGTATGATGTACATATTATTTTTATTTATGTAAATATGTATAAAAATATAAATTAATAATATTTAATCACTTATATATTTTAAATATATATAATACATATATTATAATTAAGAGGTCAAATTATAATAAATTGATTATAAATATCTTTTGAATTTAAAAAATATATATATGTGATATTTGTGTTTTTGAATTTTAAATATATATAATGAACTGATGACACCTTACCTTAGAATAACATTTAAAAATAAAAAAATTTAAAATTTAAATTATATTAATCTAAAAGGTGAAAACCACACCTTGGCAAAAATTATATTAAAATAACATATAAAAATAAAAAAAATAAATTTAAGAATTTAATAAACTGAATGAAACTGTTAAAATTTAATTCAATTTAAATTATATAAAAACTTAAATTTTGAATTAAATTTTAAAAATTTATAATTTTATATATTATCTAAAAAATTTAAATTAAATTCGATTTCAACTATTATGACCATGACCAGGAGAGGCAGAGGAAATGGCAATGGCCAAATGAGGCCATCCAAGATGAATATGTGGACATGGAGTGACATTAAACAAACAGTCCAACACGAAGCAAACAACGTAGACAACGACATGTAATTGTAAGGTAAGAAAAACGAGAGCCGCTAAGCTCCCAACTTGAACTAATAAAAAAAACCCATAATTTAAAACGCAGAGGAGCATGTGAGTTTTGCCAAGGTGTGGTTTTTACCTTTTAGAGAAAAAAAAAAAATATATATATATATATATATATATATATATTTATAGCCAGCCAAGAAATTTCCAGTTAACTGATGACACACATTTCTTTTCTGTTTCCCATTTTTTTCATTGTCAAATTTGGGAGGCTCAGAACAATTCACCAACACTGTTCACAGTTATAGAAAGAAAAGCAGAGAGAGAAGGAGAGTCTTTAGATGGAAATGCGAAGAACCGCAAAGAGAGCTGAGGAGAGTATAAAGAGAAGGAAGAAGAAGAAAAGTTTCTTGGAATAAGAGAAAAAAAGGAGATTTGGGTTTTTGATTCTTTTGCTTTTTCGTTCTGTTTTAGCTTGGTTGGATTGAGTTTTGATCTGGGTTTTGCTCCTTTTTTGTGTTTGATGATCAGGAACTTTACTGGTGCGTTTTGTTTAATTATCTTTTGGTTATGTGTAGGTGAGAATTTTCAAGTTTTGGCTTTTATGCCTTTTGATATCATATCTTCTTCAAAGTTGCAGTTTTGAAGCTGTGTGGTGTTCTTATTGATCATTTATTTGATTGGTCTAGAAGTGGAGAGAAAGAAGGAACTGAAAATTTTGTTTATTTGTCTTGTCCCAATTGATGAAAGTTTCTAGCTTTCACAAAATCTCTTCATCTGAATGTAGCAATGAACATAATCCAAACCAAAAATATGAATGGTTTTGTTGTGGTTTAATAGAGATATATCAGAGAGGAATCCATGCTTTCAAGGAATGTTTTCTAATTGTTTATGGGGTGGAAGAACTAATTTGGGGCTTAGTTTTTTTCCTATTAACATTGCTTTGATCATGGTTGCTGCTGATTGCATTCTAGTTGAATTATTTGTTCTGTTGGAGTTACGTACAAGGAATGGTTGAGGCTTTTCAATTCTAACTGGGTTTCATAGTTTGGCAATCAGAATTGGTCAACTTTCTCTTCTTGTCTTATTAAAAAATACATTTTTATGTAAAACATTGGGAGGTGGAGGAGGGAGCATCTACTTTTGTAATATTCCTAATTGTAAAAAAATTCATTCTGATCATTTCCAGTTTGTTCTTAACTTCTTGTATGAAGAAATGCTTGAGATCAAGATAGGAGGTGACAATTTTTGTGTTTGATGATGATACTAAAGCAGAAATACTGAACTTTTCCAATATATAGAACCTAAACTTTCTATTCTTACGTTTTCTTGCACCACTGGCTGATTGTTGGAACTTTATTGCAGGGTGATATATTGGAGTCTAGCAAAACATGAGCTACCTATTTGTCTTTCCTTGCCAGGCTGCCAGTATGAAAGTGGCCACAGAAGCCTTTAGGAAGACATAAAGGCTTGGTTTCGAACCAAGCCTCCTCCCCTCCCCCCTTGTAATAGGGCTTTGCCCCCCTTGAAACCAAAAAAAAGAAAGCAGTTATGGTGTTCTACCCTTCTGTTCATATACGGAGTTCAGCTGCACGATTTGGTGAAATAGCTGCTGCTGAATTATGGGTGGATGTAGTTGATAGTTGACGAAACTTATACCATTTAGAATTGCAGTAGTCATCTGTGAAAATTTATTAGTTTGATAACGCCGGGCAACTTGAATTCCATTGTTGCTTTAGTAAGTTAAGCCTTATTGCACATAAGGAATACAGTGCACAAGAGTTGATAATAAAGTAACTAAAAAGGGCTCTCTTTTAAATTCCGGAGGAGGATATTTAAAATGGGCTTGCCTCAAGTTTCTTCCAGTGGCATTGCGGAGGAAGTGGCTGCAACGCTGTGCACAGTTGTGCAGACCACACACAGAATTGTTGGAGTGAGCAGCTGTGATTTAATAAGGATGCATGGAGGAAATGTAGGAAATCAAATTCAGGTGGATTTGCCACACTCTTCTTTTGGAGATTTGCCAAAAAAAGCCACTGGGGAGCATCTACAGGATCCCGAGACTTGGAATGTAAATAAAGATGGTAGATCTAACATTTATAGGCTGAAGATTGGCATCGTGGAACAAAATGGCTGGCTTGCTCATAAAAGTGGGCATAATATTCAAACACCTGTTCCTAGAATTCTTGGTTTTGAAACAAAGGCATTGCATTCTCCAGTTGATGTGTTCAGTGGAGTCCAAACTTCACCCACTGTTGTTAGCATCACCAGTAATGCAGCTGAGTCTAATGGCTCAACAGCAAGGAAGCGCTTATTGTCTCCTTTGAGTGGAATGCTCTGCCCTGATCAATTTAATGGTGATGCTCTGAATATCAGTGGTGGTTTCAGCCAAAGTGGTTTTGGCCACGGAAATGAAAACTGCAGTGTCTATGTATCACAAGAGCATAAAAAGGCTCATATTAGCGACTCTAGTTCTTTCAACAATGCAGTCCGTTCTGCATCTTGTTTTCAACAATGGAAGAATTCACCAGATGATAATTTTGGAGCAAACTCAATGTTCCTTTCTGATGGTTCTCTGCTAAAAGATACTGGCCTGCAATCTTACAGTCATTTTGTACCTACTTCCCAAGGGCTCAATTATCCTGAAGAAACAAATAAAAGAAGGAACAAGACACCGGCTATAGCGATACCTGTTGAGAAGGCTCCCTTGTCTTTGTCTCCTCTTGGTCCAAAATCTATTGAAAGAATAAAATATGGTGAAGGATACAGGGATTTGGCAGAAACACTAAATGATGATTATATGACCTTCAAGGATATGGAGCAGTCTCCTAATGGAATGGTATCAGTCCAGACAGATAAGAATTTTAGGTTGTCAAGTAAATCATTTCATCATTTTGATGATTTGCAGAATAAGTTTGATCCATGTTCTCCAGAGCTTACCTCTGGAATTGCTCAAAAATGGGGTCAGGTTCTGAATCTTGCTCCTAAAACTGAAAAATTGGTTAGAAGTCTTAGTGGACTGTCTGTCAGAAGGTCCTTGGTTGGTTCATTTGAGGAGTCACTGCTATCTGGTCGTCTGTTATCTGGAAAAGTTAGTCAGGTTAGGAATTTTTTTTGTAATATAAGGAGCTATTCATGCTTGATCCAAAGACTTCTCCGAGGCCCACAATTTATTTTAACTTCATTTTTCTTGTTACTTGTATGCAGAGAATTGATGGTTTCCTCGCTGTTCTCAGTGTCACTGGGGGGAGTTTCTCTCCACAATCGCAGAAACTTCCTTTTGCAGTAACTAGTGTTGATGGAGATAACTACTTGCTCTATTATTCATCAATAGATCTTGCTAAGCATGTCTCAACAAACAAGTCTAGAGGCCCAAAACTGAAAAGGAGCCTGAGCATTGACGATTCACAGGCTGAAAAGAGCCGCCTTTGTGTACCCATGAAGGGGCGGATACAATTGGTAATATTAGCTTAACAGCAACCCTGTCCTGATCAATCATTCGCCATGTGTCATTCTATAGCAAAATGTTATCAGTTAATGGCCGTTTGATGATGCATTAACGATTGGATCTCACAGTTTATGCTTTATGTTTTCTAGGTGTTGATTAAAGGTTATTATATATGCTTATATTTACAATATTATTCCTGTGGGTTGTATAGCCTGACAGTCATGAGTAACTGCAGACTGAATTGGTGTTAACAGGTGTTAAGCAATCCAGAAAAGACACCAATTCACACCTTCCTTTGTAACTATGATCTGACTGACATGCCTGCTGGTACGAAGGTATGTTTGGATCTTATAATTGTTTGTGTCCCGAATTATTAAAACGTTACTATTATGAACTGATATTGTATAATAACCCTTCTCTCTTGCTGACACTTTATACGTGTTTCAACAGACATTTATGCGCCAAAGGATTACTTTGGCACCTGCTACTGCAACTAATATACCAGGAAAAGAAAGACATGAAAGCTCTGTGACAAAAAATGATGTCAAAGCACCTACAGTCCAGAATTTTAATAATTCTTCTCTGATTAGCGGAACGTTATATACTACCAGGTATCCTGAGCAGAATATGAAAGATATAGAAAGTGAAACTGCTGGATGTGTTGGGGACTTAGCGAATGGTCCCAGTGGTTTGAACATTAATGAATATATACAAACTGACGAAGACAACAGCTCATTAAATGATAGCAATGTAAATTTAAACAAACTTGTAAATAGCACATCAAGGGTCAATGAGAGTAGTATGGGTGCTGGTGTTCTGCGCTATGCTCTTCATCTCCGTTTTTTATGTTCCCCGAAGAAATGTTCAAAGTCTGTCCGAAGGTGCAAATCTGATCCTCTGTCTGCACCAGCAGGAAACATGAACATTGAAGGGGAGAGACGCTTCTACTTGTATAGTGATATGAGGGTGGTTTTCCCACAGCGCCATTCAGATGCTGATGAGGGTCAGGTACGTTGCGTGCGTGGGTGTGCAGTCCTAGTATATTTAAGTGCTTCAAGCTTCTTTTATGTTTCTGGAATTTATTTTTTCACTTCAAATTTCTCACCATGCATTACAGTACTTTTTGGATATAGCACAAATTCCTGTTTTCCATCTTCATCAATTAAAATGTGATGATTTGGAAGGTTCTGACATTGATGATATATATGATTTTGAAAACATCCATTTATGCTGCTATATTGAGAGTTGAGGAATCCTAATGCATCTATATTTGTTTCTGAACATGAATTTGCTGATGGATGATGAGAACTTTAGCCTAAATTCTACTCTCACCTATGCCTAATAACATGTATTTACATTGCAGTTACATGTGGAGTATGATTTTCCATCAAATCCAAAGTACTTTGACATCAGCAGCTAAATGCCCCTTTAGGTTCTCTTTCCCAAAATTGCCAGTTAACATTTTTTGTACATATCTGTAAATGCAGTTTCTTTCATTTATCCTTTAATGAGGGCAATATGCCCATTGATTTGTACATAATTTTTAAAAAATGATTCAATAATTAGATGATTTCATTTGTATCATCATGTTCATTTTTCCTACTCTTTTTACTCTTGTCAATAGATCAAAGCCAAAAAAATTATTACAATATCACAAGAACATACTTTCTTGTGATAATGGGAGAAACAGAATCATGATCTCACAATTATTAACAAAGAAGCACCATGGCACTATGGTTCCTACTAGCAGCAAGACATCTGTTTCGGACAAGTGTATGGCTGTAAGCTGATTCTTAACATTTGACAACAACCTTGGCTACCATTCATTAGTTTACAGGAACGGCTGTTTGAAACGAAAACGACCTATTTTTTTGGTGCATATGGGAAAGGTACAATGGGAAATGGTGATTCCAATCTTGCATCTCAATCTTGTCCAGAAAGGTAACAGTCGCTTGGCCACAATTGCACCGTTCGAAACGACTTTCAACTAAAAGGAGTTCAAAAATCTTAGAGGATAGACGTTTCAAATTAACGAGTCTGGTGAGATTTTTCTCCTTAGCAAATTTATTAGGATGGATCATGGATGTTTCAAACCTCTAGATATTAGTGAGTCTGGTGAGATTTTCCCCTTAGCTTGTCCCACAGATGGCTGCAGGTTCCTTCATGACCACATGTATAGAGTTAAAAAGTCTCCTTGACAAATTTATTAGGATGGATCATGGATGTTTCAAACTTCCAGATATTAGCGAGTCTAGTGAGATTTTTCCCCTTAGCTTGTCCCACAGATAGCTGCAGGTTTCTCCATGACCACATGTATGGAGTTAAAAAGCCAACTTTTTCTCCATTCAAGCTATAGTCAAAATAATTCTCATCAATTAAAAAATGATACCCCGTCCATACACACACGACATTTAATTTCCATGTACATTTTGGACAGTTTCGAGCAAAGCACAAGTCTGCCATGCGAGAGATGGCAACTCTTTTCCAGGCTCCAATCCTGAAATTAAAAAAAAAAACCTTTAGTTTAGCTGACATTCCAAAAATCTGAATCAAATTTAACGTATAAGCAATTAAGCTTGGAGCCATGAAGTAAAGAACTGAAGTTTACTATAGCAACAGATGGAGTTTGTCAGAACCGATGTGCCCCTTACCTATGAGAAAATTAAGGAACTACAATCCACCATATCCATCTATCAGTAGGGAATGTCCCTTTCTAACTAAACATTACATTCACTCCACACGGGGGTCCTGGAAATTTCAGTTTTGTAGCCAAAAATAAACTCGGATTACGAGATTGTATGCTGGAATCTATTTATCTCCTGCAATCCAAACGAGTGAAGCCGTGAAGGGTTCCCCCTTTGTGTCTGTTTATGGATGAACAGAAATATTAAGGATAGCTGCTTGAGATTGTCCTATATCTGTCAACGTTCAGGGTCATGTGGGTAGGTCCATATTCATGATAAACCTAATTTACATGTAACTTTTGGAGCCTTATCACCTTCCACATTTAATCCTAGTTGCTTCATTTTGCTCCCGGGGAAAAGATTCTACCAAGAAAAACTCAACCCTTACTATTTTTCATTTAGAGGAAGAAGAAATGAAGACTGAAAAGTAAAACAACCATGATAATTTTATGGAAAAAGTTGGCTATGTAATTAAGAGATGGTTATCCATGAAAGCAAAAGTTGATTCCTTTGCAAACTATATAGGGTTGGGTTGGTGCCACTTGACTTTTATATGTCCATTAACACTTACAATTAACGGTAGTTAGACTTGATTAGGAGCTAACAACATAAAAAAAATGATAATGCTACATTGATCCTAATAAATAAACATTTTGGACATCATGAAAAGAAATCTTGATGAAGATCATGCTAGATATTTATATTAAAATTGAACTGAAATTTGACTTTTTGATGAAATCAAACAAAACTATTTTTTGGCTTGGCTATTGATGAAATAGAGAGGGCGAGCCTTGGAGCAATGGTAAGGTTGCTCTTTTATGACCACGGATATGAATCTTGGAAACAGTCTCTCTGTAAAAAATGTAAAGAGAAGGCTGCGTACTATTGACTTTCCCTTGACCCTAGCAAAACGGGGAGTCTTATGCACCGGAGTTTACCCCTTTTGATGAAATAGAGAAAAGCTCATTGGTGAAAAATGCAACACAGATGCTTGCTTACTAGAAACTGATCAGTAATTAGGCCTCTTTTTCAGCACTAAACATTTATAATATGCAGCCAAATGTACTGACAAGTGCAGTTCACAATTCACATATATCATTTAAGAGTTTTGTTTGGATCTCAAGAAAAAGTTTGTACTATTTAGAGCATCTGGAAAACTGGGATATCAGTTACTGAAATCAAAGTCAAACCTTCAATTATTCATTTTTTTTTTCCTTTGAATTTTGATATCCAGAAGAAAACAAATAGGATTTCATTATTAAATAACAGGATTTCAATTCACAAGTTTCCATTAATTTTAGTTCTTCTTTACTATCTCAGTAGCCAAATTTTTATTAAATCGGTCATAATATATTAATTTGGTTCAATTTATTAATCAAATGCATTGTAGTTGTGACAATGAAAGATTCCTCACTTTCTTTCTTCTTTTTTATATACCCTTCTTAACTTCAGTTACGTCTGCTTTTTGCTTTTGCATTTCATCACTTCTGCATTTTCCTTCCCTTGTTTTGTTCTGTTTCTTTCAAGAGCTTCCCTCCCAATGGAAAGCATTGAAGCCAAGTTCCCTGAAAACCCACCTCTGAAAACACACAAACTTGTCCTCGTTGCACAAATTTGCTTGAGAATTCTGGCGATTGCGACCGCATTGGCTGCCACATGGGTGATGGTTACTTCCAAGGAAACCATTGTGGTTTTTGGTTTCCAACTCGATGCTCGATATAGCTATTCTTCTGCTTTCAAGTAAGATAATTATAAAATATAGCCCACAAATTGTAGAGCTTGTTTTTTCTTGTACTATTTGAAAGTACTGCCAAGTGCTAAATACTCTACTTTTCAGGTTCTTCGCGTTTGCAAATGCCGTTGCATGTGCCTTCACTTTCCTCTCCTTGTTGTTTGTGTTCTTCTTTGGCCGCCATGGCTTGACTCCTACAAGCTACTTCTTATTGTTCCTACACGATTTGGTAATGTTGGTTTTATACAAATCCGCAAAACTGAAAGACATAAATGTCTGATATTGATATTCGGGGTTCTGGGCCATTGCAGTTTATAATGTCGCTGATGCTTTCCGGTGTGGCGGCTGGGACTGCAATCGGATACGTAGGCCGCTACGGTAACAGCCATACTGGTTGGCTGCAAATCTGCGACCGTTTGATCAAATTCTGCCACAGGGTGACCACTTCTATGATATTCTCGTTTCTCTCAGTCGTTTGCTTGCTGGCGCTTACCATCGTCTCCGCCAGCAAGTCTAGACACATCAAGGTTTAAAACACTGACGGAAGTGATGAAGACGGTGAAGATGAGATCAGACAGCCGATCATGCCGATGATGCAATGCGTATCCATGTAAACAAACTTGTTCAGTTCACTCTTCTGTAGGAAAAGGAAACTAATAGAACTTTCCGTTTAACTACGTATCTCTCCTTTCCATTTATAGTAATAAACAAAAAAATTTACAACAATCCAATGGTTCGTACTTTGTAAATTTAAAACTTGACCCAATGATATAATATAAAAACGATATAAAAATAAAATATGAAAAATGATATAATTTAAAATTTTAATAATAATTATATATAAATTTAATAAAAAAATATTTTATATTTTTATATTATTATAAATTATAATATATTATTTTTATATAAAATATAATACGAATATATAAATTTTAAAATTTTATAAGATATAAATATACGAATCACCTCGTTCATTTTTTACAGTTGGCTTAATCGGCTGAACTAGTTCTTCTCGCAATTAAATGGTTGGTGGCCTCAATTTGGTACTAATGTCGGATGAAGTTAATGAAAGTAATAAAATGGTTGGTGGCCTCTCTTAGTCACCAATCTCCAATGGAGTTGATGAAAATTTATGAGACGCATATCTTACGTGACTTGATGGTTAGGACAACTTACTTATCTTCGGATTTTAAGGTAAAAAAAATTAATATTTTATAAAAATTGCCCACTTAAGCATAAGAATTTGTAATTTTTTCCATTGCTTTTTTTATTCTTATCTCGTTTACTTTCGTAATCTTCATGGAGGATAGTAATTCGTGTAAACAGGAATGATCTTTTACGCAAGAGTAGGAGTGAAAAAAAAATAGAGAAAATGGAAAATCAATTTAAAATTATAATACTTAATTTAGTTTGAATAAATTTTTTTCATTGATTCAAATTAAATTTGAATATTAAATAAATATATATGAGAATAGGATTGAACTTTAAATTAAAAAGTGAAAAATTAAAAAAAAAAAAGAATCAAATCAAATTATATATTTTTATTATTTTTTATATATTTTAAATTTTTATAAAATAAAATTAATAATTTTATATCAAAATCTATTTAAATACATTAAAATTTTATATTAAAATAATATATAAAAAATAAAAAAATTAAATTTTAAAACCAACAAATTAAATAAAATTAAACTGATAAAATTTAATTTTGATTCAATCATATCAAAAATTGATTTAAATTCATATTAAATTTTAAAATTTTATAATATTATATAATATTTTAAAAAATTAAACTAAAATCCTATTCGATTTGAATTAAAATCACCCCTACGCAGAGGCATGGAAAAGCTTATCAAACTCACCTTTCAGGAATTTTTTTTCCTCGAAGTGGGCGGGCTTCTGGAATGAATTAAGCAGGCCAAGACATGGGCTGGAAAGGCTGAAGGCATCAGTTTAAAGGCCCCCAATCTTAGGATTTGGTCCACAATCTACAGTTGGCTTATTAGCTTATTTATTGAGCAATTGGGCCAATTTAAGGAGCCGTAGATTTCCCAATTGGGAAAACTAGAGCCAAATTTTATATATGTGAAAGCCTTGTTTATTTCGTTATCTTAACAAGCAATCATTTCAATGATCACGAGGAACAGCTTGAGACCAAACTGGAAACTTTCAGCACCGATCCAGTGGCTCCTCATTTTGGAATTTACAACTTATGTAATTTTTTACCCCCAATTTTTAAAAATTAATCTTTATCAGTTTAATTTATATTTTTACGAATAAATTATATAATTTTAAATCCTTTTTTTAACAATATATATTTATTATTGAATCAAATGTTAATATTTATATGTTTTAATTAGAGACTATATATTACCTTGTAAAAAAGAGAAAATTATTAGTATTGACAATTGAAAAAAATTTTATTAGACAACTATAAAAGAAAAAAAAAAAAACAACGTGGCTCTCCAATTTGATAAGTAGTTATGTTAATCTATTTTTTTATATAAAAAATCTTAATTTAAAGATAATAAAATAAATTACAGGTGTCAAATTTTGAATTATATATTTGGTAGATATATTTTTTAAAAATAAATATGTTAATTAATTGAATTAAAATTTGAATTTAATATAAAAAAACTAATGTAAATGACAGATTGATAAGGCTTGGGAGGAGGTGGGACTTTTGAAGCCAAGAAGCTTGGAATAAATGTAATGGCAAAGAAATTGTTAAAAGTTATGCCAAAGTACTTTGAAAGCCCAGCATTGAAAGTGTCAAATGATGCGATATCGACACGAATTTAAATCATGCCAAAAGCTTTATTGATTGTGACAATGGACGTTGAAGGCATTTGACATTCTTAATTGTCATTTGGTATTGGCTAAAGATAATATTTTTTTTTTATAAAAAAAAATTTGAGATAAATAATTTGTTTAGTTTCTCAAGTTAAGATAAAATGTAGTGTACCTAATAACTTAAAATAAGTGACTGCAAATCATACATTAGATATGACTTCAACAAATGATCATCAATAGAACTCAAGTTGAAGACCTCTTTGTAAAAAAAAAAATAAATTTTAATCGATTGAATCAATCACTTGTTAACTAATTAAGATAATATAATTAGCTAGAAAAAACCCTTAAAAAAAGGGAGGTCAAGTGCTAACTGTAAACCCACACATAGATCTAGTGATTTAATGATATGATAACATAATATAAATATGATATGAAATTAAAATATAAAAATAATATGATTTAAAATTATAATAATAAATATATATAAGTTTAACAAAAAAAATTCATATTTTCATAATTATATGAATTATGATATGTAATTTTTATATAAAATATGATACAAATATATAAATTTTAATATTTTATTAAACACGAATACACGAATCAGTAAATCTACCCACACTCATGTTTTGTTAAAATAAAAAAAAATAATTGATCATACTAACTTCTTTTAGATTTTGCCCAAGGCTAAAACATGGAGGAACAAGTAAAACATGGGAATAATTAGACACATACTTCACTTAATAAACACCGGTTTCACCCTTTGAAAGCTTTTGAAAGTCAAATGAACCGATTCAGTGCAAGTTGTTTAACCAACGTGTCCTATGCATATTGCAACAGGACTAAGCTTTTTCCCTTTCATGCTAAGTTCTTTTCTTTTAAACATTATATTTGTTCTTGGCCGGTTCTATATTTGACCTCAAATCAAGGGTGATTTTCAATCATGGTGGACAGTAGTGAAAACAACATATAGCAAAATGAACGTTTTTGGTACATGAGTTGGTCCTTCAAATCACTGGAATATATGCTGTCATGACCATGTTTATGGTTGAATGTTTGCGATGGATTAGGGGCAAAGTCAGGTAAATTGAGAACGCGTGGCAAAGAATTAGAATCCAATTTGTTTTTCCTTTTCATTTGTCAATGGCTATAAATATAGCTTTTCTTAATGCTTGATTGTGCATATCCAACACCTTATGTACCAATTGAAGGAGGAAGAGTGGTCTTGTATGGAGATCAAAGAGTATTGTTGGGTAGCCAAGGATGAGTTGCCTGAATCCAAACAGGATTCTGAGGGAAGGGAAGGTGATGAATATCATAAGTTATATAAATAAATTTCATCAGAGTCTTTTCATGGTTTGTGGGCAGTCTCCTTTGGCTATCCTGACTGGCTCTTATCTTTCATGCATGACCAAGATCTCTTCCATGCATAAAAATCTCAATGCCATTTCCTTTGAAGTTCCAAATGTGTTACAATTGTGAACTTGTGACAGGCGAAAGATATAATGCCAATGAGCCTTTGATTCAGCAGCGTCTATATTTTCAGGTTCAAAATTCCTGGAGAATATTTCTGCTGCCTGGTAAAAGAAAGTTAATTTTACTATATTTTTACTTCCTCTTTCTCTTTTTCACTTTGATCCTTCCCATGGTGCAGAGATCATTGACAAATCATGTGCCTAAGATTTCCATCATCTCCATTGTTGTTCTGTTGGCTTGTCTAGTTGCTTCACCCCCTTCAAAACCAAGTTCTGTCAAAGGCGATATTGAAGACCTTAAGAATCAGCATTTAACTTGGAGATGACTGATCATCAAGGCCATTTGATAACTGATAATCAAAATTTACGAAGTATTCAAAAAATTTTATTTAAAGTTAAATTAATTAAATCGTGTATTTATGTTATATAAAATATTAAAATTTATATGTTTATATTATATTTTATACAAAAATTATTTATCACAATTCGTATCGATATAAAATATAAAATATAATTTTTATTTTTTAAAATATATAATTATTATTAAAATTTTAAATTATATTATTTTTATGTCTTAATTTTATATCATGTTCATATTGTGCCACTATACTGTATTTTAGATTATAAGATTTGGTTAAAACTTAATCCAAAAAACTTGAATTGTTTAAAAAATATATATTAAAATATTTAAAAATATAAAATATTAAAATTTTTAAACATATTTTAAAATTAAAAATAAATTTTATTGATTAAGTGTTAGGGCCGGGTCGGACCGCAAAACGTATGTCCAGCCGCCGGCTCGTGGACAGTGAATTTTTAATTTATAAATAGTAAAAGAAATACCTCTTGTCTCGATTTCTCCTTTGTTTTCTATAGAAACAAACGAATCATCCAACTCTCAAAACCAGAAATCAAAATTCCAATTTTTTTTTCTTTAAATTGAAAATTAAACCGTAGAAGAGAGGTTGGTCAATCCAGTTCTCTGACTCTCTTTCTCAGCCGAGGGAGTTTTTGAATCTGTCTGATTTCTTTTTTCTCTCTCACATTTCAAGCATAAATAAATAAAATCTTTAGAATTTCTCAATTCCTGATCTAAATTATAGAAGAGAGATAAAGAGAAAAGAGACAGAGAGAGATCAAAGGCTTTGAAACGAAAAATGATCACGATTCCGTATTTGACCGCTCTATCCACGTACTTCAGCTATGGCCTTCTCTTCGCGTTTGGCCAATTCCGTGATTTCTTCAGGAAAATCTTTGATTGGTGGCACGCAAGCAATCTTCAAGTTCTTCTTCTCCCTCTCTCTCTCTCTCTTTAATTTTTGTAATAGAATTGCCGTTATTAGAATATATTTTGGTTGAAAAATGTGTTGATAACGGTTTGTTTGCGTCCGGATTGTGTAGGGATATGCTCCGATCTGTTTAGGACTTGAAGATTTCTATATTCGACGCTTGTATCTTCGCATTCAGGTATTTTCTTTTTCTTCAATAATTTCTTGATTTATTTATTTTTCTTTTATGCAATTTTCCTGGAAATTTTGTGTTAGAAGTTAATCATCAAATTAAGCTGCAATACAGATAAATTTCACGCGAGAAAATCAATGTTGGAATCTAATGTTTGTTTATTTTTCTCAATTTGTTAGTCCTTTTTGCTTGGAAGCACTTAATTAGGCTGTAATAGACCTCAATTTTGTGTCAGAAGTTAATCATCAAATTATGCTGTAATAGAGATAAATTTCTTGCGAGAAAATCAATGTTAGAATCTAAAGTTTGGTTACTTTTCTCAATTTACTAGTCCTTTTTGCTTGGAAGCACTTAATTGTAGTTCATTTTTCTGTTGTTGAAGACAAAATAGCTCAATTTTGATCATAAACAGTCTTTTTGCAACTTTGATCGTAATTGGATGGTTTGTTTTGGTTGTTTTCCTCCTATGAAAGTTGTACATGACTGTCAGTGGCGTTATTTATGAAGCTAATATGTCCTACATTTTCACCTCCGTAGGATTGTTTCGGAAGACCGATATCAAGTGCTCCTGATGCTTGGTTTGATGTAGTTGAGCGCTATTCTAATGACAACAATAAAACGTTGAAGTGAATCCTCTGTTGTGCTTTCACTTTTCAATCCTAGTTTAAGCTCACTTTCATTTATTTTACAACCATTTGCTGTATGTTCTGACTTATTTTGTTATTGCATTTGTGCAAGATGCAAATAAACTTTGGTATATAATCATTGTTCACTTCTTAGGTGAATGATTGAGACAAAGAGCTTGCTTGCTAAATATTGACGTCACAAGATTTTTCTTCCTGATTTGGATCTCTTACAGGCGAACTGACAAGATAAATAAGTGTCTTAACTTGGGATCATACAATTATCTTGGCTTTGCAGCATCTGATGAATATTGCACACCCCGTGTAATTAATTCATTAAATAGATTTTCAGCAAGTACCTGTAGTACTCGTGTTGATGGAGGTATACTTTTTAAATTCTGAATGGTAGTCCATCTGTTGGCATACCTAGTTATCTGAAATCTTCCACTACCTTTTCCCCACCAGGAACTACAACAGTTCATAAGGAACTGGAAGAGTGTGTTGCAAACTTTGTTGGGAAGCCAGCTGCTATAGTCTTTGGCATGGGCTATGTGACAAACTCTGCTATTCTTCCTGTCCTAATTGGAAAGGTATGAACAAAATGTTAGCATGCATGTTCTCCATGTAAAAAGTTCATATCTAAACTTTATTTTGGTCATTGCTTTCTGATTATTGTCATTATTATTTTTCTTTTCATATATCTACAGGGAGGGTTGATTATTAGTGATTCATTAAACCACAACTCTATTGTCAATGGTGCTCGAGGCTCAGGAGCTACTATCCGAGTTTTTCAACACAATAGTAAGTTGTATGTGGTATTTGAAACTCAATTAATTTATTGACATATCATTATGCTGATACAAATAAATCACTTTTTCCATTTAGCTCCTTCTCATTTGGAGAAAGTTCTGAGAGAACAAATTGCTGAGGGACAGCCCAGGACACATAGGCCATGGAAGAAGATAATTGTTGTTGTGGAGGGAATTTATAGCATGGAAGGCGAACTTTGTAAACTCCCTGAGATTGTTGCAATCTGCAAGAAGTATAAGGTGTGCAGTTAATATAATGATCATCTTCTCATCATAATTCATTCTGGCTTGATCTTAAAGTAATCTGCCCAAGTCGTTTTTCTTTTGGCACTCAGTTAATGATTAAGTAATAATTGAAAAAAGAAGAAGAAAAGAACGATGTAACTTATAACTGCTAGAAACTAAATGAGGTTGAGTTACCTTATAATCTATAGACATGAATATGCTATGTATATCTTGTTTTCTAATTATTTCCTCCAATTTTTAGATTTTTCTAACTTTTATAATGCATTGTCAGTCATCATCTTTTCTTCAACTAAAAAGTAAAAATTGTGTTTATTTCCCATTTGTTTCAGGCATATGTTTATTTGGATGAGGCTCACAGCATTGGCGCAGTTGGAAAATCAGGAAGAGGAGTATGTGAACTCTTAGGAGTGGACACTGCTGATGTTGATATCATGATGGGAACTTTTACAAAATCTTTTGGGTCTTGTGGTGGTTATATTGCTGGATCCAAGGTTTGTTGCTTTTGCTAACTTGGACAGTTGTCATTTTTGTTATGTTCCATTAATAGTTGAGCTTGGTACTGTTGACAATGGACATTGGTTCTACAAATCCTACAACTAACTTGTTCCCATGTCAATTTCAGGAACTTATACAATATCTCAAGTACACTTGTCCTGCTCATCTATATGCAACATCAATATCACCACCAGCTGCACAGCAAATTATATCTGCAATAAAGGTTATCCTTGGAGAGGATGGTTCTAGCAGAGGTAGGGACATCGTGTTTTCTCCTTCTAAAACCGTTGAACTTCCACTGCGATTTTAGATTTGAATCGTCATTTCTTTTTCTCGACTTAAAGAGGCTATTTTATGTTAATTTAGGGGCTCAAAAACTTGCAAGGATACGCAAGAATAGCAACTTTTTCAGGTCTGAGCTGCAAAAGATGGGTTTTGAGGTCCTAGGAGACAATGATTCTCCTGTAATGCCCATAATGCTTTACAATCCAGCAAAAATCCCTGCATTTTCCCGAGAGTGCCTCAAACAAAATGTGAGTATAAGCCAAGTTCAGTTGTCCATCAATCTTATTTTCACATTGAAATATCTGCCATTCTTATTGTAACATTATAGTTCTGCCATTCCTTATTTATATTTTCCCAGCGCATGTATCAATCTATCTAGTGTTTGCTGACCAGTTATTGAAAATGTAATCCTGCTGTGACAGGTTGCTGTCGTTACAGTTGCTTTCCCGGCGACCCCACTACTTTTGGCCAGGGCACGTATTTGCCTATCTGCTTCACATACCAAGGAGGACCTTCTTAAAGCGTTGGAGGTAATTACTGAATCTGCTTCCTTCTGCCCTGACTTTATTGTCTTGGTTATAATGCAAATTACAAATTGCTATTGGAGTGATCAAATAGTATGCAGAATGTAAGGGTATTTTCTTTCTTTATGACAGGTTATTAGTCAGGTAGGTGATTTGGTGGGCATAAAATACTTTCCTGCAGAACCCAAGAAGCAGCAGCAGCAGCAGCAGCAGAAGCAGGGGAAAGGCACAATCAAGTTAGAGTGAAAGAATGAAAGCTGGCTTAGCATCTAGCAGGAACTGTAGAATTGAGCCATGCTTCATTAGTCACTTGTTTGATTGTTGTATCCGCTCTGAAAATCAGGAAAGTTTGTAGTACCAACAGTCTCAGTATGTTTGTACATGTGCTCCTCAATCTATGTTTTGCGCATGATCTTTGGGATTTTGGTAAATGATTTATAGGTCTAGGTACTAATTTAAGTCATTCTATGATCATTTTCATTTCCTCCTCCATAGATTAGTTTTAGATAGACTGTTTTCCATGCTTTCCAAGAAGACTAGTTCCCATGACTTATTCAAACGTGGTAAAATATGAAAAATAGAATGCGTCAGTTTCTAGTTATTTGCAGGCTGTACGTTTTAGACGGCATGCCTCTCATCATACATTTCTCATCCGATCGTATTATATCTGGAAGATTCATGAAAATGCATTCATCACAACCGTGGGCCAAGCTGACATCCCCCAACTTAACACGGTTAGCCAAGCAGACCAGGATGGAGATCTATGGACGATTTCCTGTAAGAATATAATCCTTATTCATGATTTCGTCCCTGCATCTCATTCCCGGTTCTAGATGAACAATTGGCTGTCAAGAAGATATGAAAAGAGTTTCTACATTTCTTCTCATTCAAAGCACTTGTAAGCGTAATCTTTTCTGCACCAACTACTATTTTGTTTGTTGTTTTTTCTCCCTTTCCGTCTTGTTGGAGGCAAGTTCTTTACAGACCACAATGTACTTTAACAAAAATTATTACCTAACCTTGAGTAATGCAAGGACTCTGGGAATGCAAAAAATTTGTCCAGGAAAAGAGGAAAGAAGAAAAAAAAGGTATAAAGGTTAAATTAGAATCAGATATCCATATCATAGAATTTTAGGCTATAGAAAGTTAGGATGTGTTACGCATATTCAACACAAGATACTGCTTGATAAAAGCCTAACCCTTCAGGAATGCTCAAACAAAGGGAATGCATATGCATGCCTGAGTGAGGTGAATTATGTACTTGCCATCTAAGATTTATATAACCATTGATAAAACAAGGTAAACAAAGAGAAACTCAAACATCATTATTGATCCTAAAACACAAATTGCATGGTGAGAGGGGAGTTCTAGATGACTAGGCTAAAGTACATAGACATGTGAATACATATATTCCCATGGATCATAAAATTTACAGATGGATTGCAAATATCTAAAGCTAGTCTATAGTAAATTCAAAATGAACAGTTTCAAGAGGAAACAACTTAAATACAGAATCTTCAACAACCAGAGTAAAGAAACATATCTTGAGTGATTGCTTCATACACCACCATAATTACCATACAAAAAGCACTTGTCTAATATGTAATTGTAAAGATACATTCCATTTCATAATCAAGAAGAATGGGAAAACCATAAGAATATGATCAAAATTGCCTTATTTTGTCAAGCACTTTCGTTTAACCAAAAGAAAAGCTAATATTCTCTCATTGTTTTCCATTACACTTCTCAACATTAGTTAGCACTACCATTAATAAAAGCACCATAAGCACAATGCACAGCAAAAAATTTGCACCAGATTAAAATTCATATAACACTAACAAAAAAGTGAAAAACCCTACTGATTCTCCTTAAGGTAACCATGACAAAGCTAATAAGGCTCAGGCACTTATATTGCCATGGCTCATGAAATTCTCCATTGGAAAGCCCTATTAAAAATGTCAAGAAAAGCCTTTACCAAGCTTCTGAATGGCGCAAAACAATTTTCTTCTAGAGCCAACGGCATTTATTCCCATATCCTTCAAATCTTCCAGTGTTAACAAAGGCAAAATCTCATCATCCACTTCATGGATCTTGAAAACGGGGGCGTATCGTCCTAGCCCTAAACTATTCAACCAAATGCTAACCCCATCTTCCTCACACCGCCTCATGTCGGTATCTGACGGCCCAGATAACTCAACCCCATCCGAAACCCTTGTCCTGATTGGCCTCCTTTGATTATTCCCATGATAAAGAACTTCCCTTTCGTTGCCATCGACACCCAAATTGTCCAAAGAATGAATCGGACTCGGTTCTTTCAAAGGACTTTCGGAGGTCTCCATGTCGAAATCATCGTTATCTTCACCGCCACTGTATTTGTCGTCTGCTTCCGCATTACTGTTGTTAGCGTTATTATTGTTGCCGTTGATGTTGATGTTTCCACCGCTGGAATCGTCGATTTTGGAGACCCAATTGGATCGGACCCGTTTCGTGGCGGAGCCCCGTTTCTTGAAATCTTTGACTCTCCAGCTACCAATTGCGACGCCATCTAAATTGTTGTTATTGTTGTTAGCTTCTCTTTCTTCATCGAGGGTTTCGTTGTCGGCGTTGAAGTCAGTGCTGAGGTTGGTTAGAGCGCGAGTCTTGGACGACTTAGTACTCACACCAGCGACTGAGAGATTCAAGGAAAGGTGGGGTTGGTGTTTCCATTGCTTGGCGGCGGCTGCGGAGGCGCAAGAGGAGGAGGGTCTTCGGATATGAGAATCATAAGGTTGGTCTCCGCCGATTTCGCCTAATCGAACGCTGGGTCGTCTCTGGCGTTTCGATCCAACGGTCTCAGATGAAGCCACCGCGAGGGGTACTCCGACGCCGTTTATCTGGCCGTCTGATTGCTGTATCTCCGCCATGTTTATTTCACCCTTTTTTGTTGGTTTGTTTTATTTATGAAGAAAAATAAGTAACAAAAGCGAGTGATTAAAGAAGAAAGGGAGTGCTTTGGCGTTTGGGTGGAGAGAAAGAGCGACGGAAAGTGAAAGAAATGAAGTGAGAAGACGAGAGTGTGGAGTTGGAGAGACTGAATTGAGATGTTGGGTTAGTGACACGTGTCCCATTCCTACCCAAAAAGGGTGCCATGGTTTTCTTAGATTTTTGCTCCTTTTGCTGCCAAAAATTATCTTTTTTTTTTTTTGGATTTTTTTCCCCAAATTTGCTACTACAAATTATACAAGAAATTTCAAAGCAAGAAAAATATGTATAATATCTAGTTTTGATTATTTAAATATATTTAATGTTATAATACTAACTATTTCATTACCATGTCACTTTTGAATACGAAAATGCACGTGCTAAATCAAATGCTCTTACTTATAAATATAGGCTTAAATAATAAAAAAGTTTATTGAGTCTCTTGATTGCATTTATTCGTGTCTTGATTGCTTGAGTTGAATTGGTTGGTTCAACATCAATAAATGAAAAAAATATAATTAAATCGATTAAATTTTTTTTTAAAGGGATAATAATATAATTTGATCGAATTTGATTTAATTTTTTAAGTATTTTATGATTTTATAAATTTTTAAAATTAAATTCAAATCTAAAAAATTTTTTATATGATTCGAATTGAATTTTATTAGTTTAATTTATCAGTTTTTGAAAATTTTTTATTTTTTATATATTATTTTAATATAAAATTTAATATATTTAAATAAATTTTGATATAAATACTATTTTTATTTTATGAAATTTAAAAAATATTTAAAAATTAATAAAATATATAATTTGATTTGGTTTTTTTTTTATTTAAAATTCAATCTAAATTTAATATATATTTAATATAAACTTAATCTGAACCAAATAAAAAAAATTAATCTAAATCAAACTTAATATTATAATTTTTAATCGATTTTTCATTTTCTCAATTTTTTTCTCACTAATACAAAATCCTAAATATTTTTATTACTAAAAAATCATTTTGACTGTTTAAGTTGAATTTATTAACTTAACTAGAAATCAACACTAACTACTAAGTTGAATTTATAGCCCCTAACTGTTAACTAGAAGTCAACACTTCGCCAAAGATGAGACTTCGGTAAAATCCATCAAAAGGGTCTTCTGGAGTAAGGAAACAATGGACTAATCACTAGAATGTTATTTACCATATAAACACATGCATGCAATTTCAATCATTTAACAGCTATGGCTGCATTATAAATGAAAAAAATGCTGTCCCACGTAGCGACCTGTTTCATAGCCTGAAAATGTTTCCCATTCCATGTAGAGATAGGCAACGGATCAAGCACGAGATAAGCTATTTGTCTTGAACTATACTTGATTTTATAAGTTTAATAATTAAATGTTATTTGATTTGATATTAAAATATTATTTTTATATTTTATTTAATTTAAATATATTTAAATTTATAATCTATCTGATTTAAAATTAATAAATTATTATTTAATATTATTTTTAATATAAAATAATATTTTTAATATAATAATAAAATAATAAAAAATAATATATAGTTCAAGTCGAAATAGATTTACATAAAACTCAACTTTGATTTTTTTTTAATAATACTTGATTCAATCCGAAACTTTATTAAAAAAAATCTATTCCATAGAATCAGATTGATTCAGAACCGAACGGATATGAATTGGATTACTAACCCTACTCCCAAAAGAATCTTTCAAGATGAGTATGCTGGTTGTAGCTGCTTCAAGAGTAATGCAGATTAGCCTCTGTTTTTTCATCCTTTAATTTGTGTGAGAACATGTCAAGCAATAATTTCTCAGATTTTGCCAGTTACCTACATGCAAGGACGATCAAGTGTGGTTTTTACAGATTCAGTCAACTGGCACAATGGAAAGCTAAGCATGTCCAGAACTGTGCTCCAAAGGATACATGGTTGCGCCTTTCACAAAATTTTGATGGTCAACGGAAGCAGCCTTTCGGAGCCTACAGACTAACCTATGTTTCCCTTTGACTTGCTTCTTTAATATTGAGCACGAACCAAGCAGGTCTTCAGATCCTGTTCCAACCCTCCTACAGAAACAAGATAATGCATTTGTTACATCTTCAGGAACAAAGCTTTAAGCTGGAAAGAGTAGTTGCTATAATATCAAATTTTATCTAATTGCACTGCACTAAAAACTCTATTAACACCATACCTGTTTCTTGAGCACCAATACGCAAATACATTCAGAATTTGTATGTCTCTGATTCAATCTTAAGAACCCATGTAAAGATTTCAATGACAGAGGGAGAGAGAGCATACACCCAAACACTCCATCATCTGGTAGCAAGCCCTTCCAAGCAAAGGCATATGGCCCTTCCGAGATTCTGAGAGATATCTAGTCCTGAGAGAATATCAAGAAGGTTTTGTTTGTCAGGTAAACATGAGTAAATTGTTAGGTTGCAGGGAAAGATAGTTAAAAGGAACAGTACCATTCTTTATAACCTGGATCCAAAGTGAAACCATACATATCCACCGAATCACATACAGAAAGAGCAAATTCCAGAGCCCGGAGCCCAGTTCCTTTTGCAGCTGAACCAAAGGATGCACCTAGCATGAGATATACAGGATTTCTTATTGGAATTTCCTGCATCAGAAAACAGGATAAAGTCTTTGGAGTTTATGTCAAAAGATGGAGAAAAGAAATAATTACTGAACCAATAAGAAATCAAATCAAATGTAGATGGACATTAAGAGAAACTACAGTCTTTGTATACAACAGCTGTTTCAACACAAAGTACTTGTTTGGAGAAATATCAAAATCATAGAAAGAAACTAGATGGAAATATATACTAACCCGAATCATCTGGCTCATAATGTCATGAATTGTAGTTTTGATTATCAACATCTCCTGCCATGTTTCTGTAAAAGCCAAATATTTAGCATGCTTTTAGAATCATGAAAGCGTAATAAGTAAACAAGAAGTGCCAAAATGTCAAAACCACCTAACTCTACAACTTTATCAAGAGCTTTCGGGGATCCTCTGTTAAGAAGCTGAAGTTGCCTATAACAGCACACCGACCAAACTGCCTTGGAACATAAGGTGGAGCTGCAGGGTGGGCAAGTGAAAGCTTCTCCGTGCATAGAGCTTTATTTTTACAGTGGTTCCTGCAATACAAAAGAAACTCCATAAAACTTTGCCCGCCAGCTGTACACTATCTCCACAATACATCCTCATAATCTGGCACATCAAATACTCTTTCTTTAGGCATGTTATATAAATAAGCAGTAATGTCACTATATTCCATTCTTAACCTTATTTGTGTTATTGGTGCATGCACTACATAAAAGCAACTAATCGTATATTGCAGTGGCCAAAAACAGTACTCACAGAAGAACTCCTCCATTAACCCTGCGCCACAGCATGCTCCTCCCACCCATTTGGTTAAGCATCAATGAACTTTGTAGTGAGTATTGTAGTACTATTCCTCACCTGAGCAATCAACTCACTGAATAACAAATCAACAGTACAGAAATAAAACAAATCTTAAACAAGCAACTTTATTCCAATGCCTCCCAATCTTCACCTGCGGTTGATGATTCTCATCTGTAAACAATGACAATGGGAAAAAAAAAAAAAAACTCAAAATGGTTAGAGAATTTATATATAAAAGAAACAGAAGTAAGGAAGTATATATGTTAAATATGTACATTGACTGGAGTCCAGTGATGGTGGATGAGAATGGCTGTGCAACCAGAGGCTAAAGATAGTAAAAGACCCAACTGCATTATCCTCATTTAAATGGGTATTTAAGGGACGATTAATGGGAAAATTTGTTGGCTTTCTATAGTTTATTTGATGGAAGACAAAGATTCTGCATGAGTGCATGGATTTGAATAAGCAAACCAGACAGATCTTCCTAAGCTAACGCTGAGTATGAAAAAAGGTAAACAAAACTAAAGGCCCGAATGAGCCGAAATTGAAACATTGTTCAACAGCCACTCTTAAAATGGTCCGAAGTTGGTTTTTGCACAAAGCCCATAAATGTACCGAAATGGGCTTAGTTTATTAATAAAAAAAAAATCAATGGGCTTAGTCTAAGCCTCGACTCTGGGATCAATTGAGTGTATGTCTTTCCCTGTAGCCTGTGGCAAATAGGGAGATAAACACCGATGGATGTGAGGTTAAATGGTCAAATGTTCATCACTCCAAAAACCAAACATTATGCACCCAAACATTTCCTTCTATTCGAGGATATCGATTAAAATATCTTTTTTCACCGATTTTTTTTTTTTTTGCAACATAGTTTAGAAGGGTATTAGGTAAAACTTCTAAAATTTACGCAAATATGGTGAGTGATTTTTTTCTTTCTCTATAAGATAAGAAATGTAAAGAGAGATGATTCATTTTGCATGGTGCTGGACCACCTAAAATTCGTCGATTATTATCAGTCAAAGAAGTGAGTGCAAAGCCAAGGTCGACTTCACTTTTTCATGTGCTAACAAGCATAGACACAACAGTGTAGTCTCTTTCATGGAGGGATGGCCACCAGAAAAGCACCAGGTCAAAGCCTAGGAAGTAACTTCTATGCTCTCATTGCTCAGCCTTAAGTACCCTTCGCAATTGATCTGATGTTTATATACCAGCCAAAAACTTTTCCAATTTGCAAAAAAATCACAGTATAAAACCTCTTTCTTTAGAAAATGTAAACGCTATAGTTGGTTTTCCAATATGGCTACACTCACCTTATGATATTTTCATGCCGACAGATAACAAAAATGTTACATGTGAGTCATTCTCTTTTCAATGCATGACGTAGGAATAATGGTGATAATTCATTTTCATGGTGTTGGACCACCTAAAAATTCCTTGATCACTCGTCAAATATTTCACTGCAAGGTCGTGTTCACCGATTTCATGTGCTTGCATGTGTAGTCTCTCGGAGGGGTGGGCATCGGGCAACATTGGAAGGCAAAATTTTGGATGCTCAGGGTTACGTCTCCTTCGCAATTAATCCACTAGCGGTCAATTTCTTTCCAGGGCCATTGTCTGCTACATTGAATGTTTCAAGCAAAAACACTGTCCTGTTGGTTGAATCTCCATCATCATTCGTTTTCCATTTGGATTTCATTGCTGAACTAGCCTATCATGTAATCAAAGACTGATCTTCCCAAAAGGATTATAATCCCATCTCAATGAGACTTTCATTATATCATCACGTCATTTTATATTTAGAACCTTCTAAGCAGCATCAGTCTGAAA